TAAACTTGTCATACTAAATCACTAACCTCTGTTCTTACAGGCCAGCCACCTGACAGCCTCTATGGCAGCAGCTGTCTTACCAATGGCATAAGTAAATATGCGAATCTGGTATGAAAAAATATTGAAATATAATTTATCTGTTTTTTCTTATCTTTTCAACATAACATATTTTACAACATGAAAGTTTTTTAATGTTTTGTTAAGTGTCTCTGCTCAAACTATTTAAAATCAAATAATTAATTTTCTTATGAAAATGTATGTTTTTCTAAGACAAAAAATTATCAAAAGGAAATTTCACAAAATCATATTTCACAGGCCTAAACAAATGGTTTTCAGCTGATACCAATGTTTTGTCATCTCCATATTGAGTTTGTGCTACATACCCGCTTGTCAGGATTTTCTCTATTCAACACAGTGGCTGCTTCGTCTTTGGCAGTGGCGCCATCTGTCAACACCATGATAATTCGATTACAGTCTGCTCCAACATTATTCATGCTGCTGTTTTTCTCATCTTGTTCAAACTAAAAACAAAAATGCTTCGATTTATTAAGCATTAAATGAGTTGGAGTTTTATGAATCCTCAAGATATATGTACACTAAAACTTGAGATCAGTCACAGTCCTATTAAAAAAATTGTTTATCCTTCTTCCATCCTTTTGCTAGGGGGAACAACAAAAAAAAGCTTTGTTACATCTTGTTCAAACATTACAAGAGATTTTTCACATTTTAGATGGTGCAAACAATACATTTGGGTTGAAACCTAGTTATACTGAGTTAAAGAAGCCAGTATTAAACTGTGGAACTATCTCAGGATAAACTAAAGGATGTTTTGTCAATGAAATACAAAATTGCAAATAACAGAAAAAATACAGAAAATGAAACTTTTTCAAATGCTTTAAAGCGAATTTCTATTTAATCAATACACTTTTCAGCACTATAATACAAACTCCACATATAGTAGAAAATCCTAAACCTCTTTGAAAGCTTTGAAAGCAAATTCCAGAGCGTCCTCCCATTTGGCCATCCCAGAGGCCTGAAGATCCATCACTGCCTCTTTCAGGACTTGCTTGTTTCTGTGTGTGGCCTGGACAAAGCCCTGGAAACATTCTGACACGTACCGCACAGTGTCTTGGATTTCTTCAGTTTTGGAGTACTGAAAAGATGCAGGGTATGCTTATGGTTGATTTTCAATTTTTAAAGGGAAAACAGTGTATTGAACATAAATTTGTGAGATGTCAGGACTTATAACTAGACTTTTAAATAAGAACTGGATATTATTAATTTGGCAACCGTTTGGAAAATAACGGTCATGAACACTATGTTTTATATTTTGTCACCAGAACATTTAATCAATTCTGGAATTTTTTAAATAAGTGAACATTAAACAGATAATAAGTATACACACCTCCATCTTAAACTCACAACAGCCAAAAACATTCCCTATATACAGTATGCATTCTTACATATAACATAATCATTTTAATGTTACAACAATATTGAAAACTATTTCAACCATCAAATGAAAACCTTACATTTGCTACTGCCACAAAGTCATTCTCCCCGAGTGTTTCCAGCAACTGTTTTACTGTTTCCTTCATCAGCTGCAGAGCTTCCCCTGTAGTACTTCCACTCCTGAAATTATCCATTTATTTCTTCACTTAATGAAATTGATCTTATGTTCTTTTGAGCTTTTTTGGTTGAAATCATTCCTTTTGATCGAAAACTTTATCAAAATATATATGACACACTTCCATTTCTTCAAGGCTCAAAAATAAATAATGGTAACATGGACTACTTCAAGCAAGAAACAAGAATTGTGCTGATACAATACCAATTTGTGAAATACACTGCAATCAAAATAGACAAAAATAAGTATCATTTAATTACACTGCAAAGGTGCCCATTGACATATAATTAAAAAATTCCTGATCAAAAAAATTACTAAGTGTAACAACAAATTTGGAATAAGGAAGACTTATAGAGTTTGACATTTGCAAAGAAAAAATAATTAAATAGGGCAGACTTACGTGTCTACTAATATCATCATATTTTTGGGTGAACTTGACCCCTGTGTGTACCAAGGACGACGTCTGACATCATACAGATCAGGCTTGGCTTCAGTCCATGCATTGGCTAAAATGTTAATGAAAATATAAGATATACAAATAAATAGACAATATTAATTAACATTAATAAAATAAATTATTTTATAGTCCATTCAAAATACAAATTAATATTTATAAAATCAATAAAAGAAAAAATTTAAAAAATATAAAAAAACCTGTTACAGTAAAGATTGAAGCATTGTTTAAATCCAATTTTAATGTTCAAAAGTTAACTATTTCTAATTACTGTTCATTATATTTATTATTTATTCTGTTTAAATTAGCTAATAAAAATCAGCTGCCTGAGATGTTTTCTTTTGTATTTCAAGGACATGCATTAAAGCCAAGTATTACTTATACATCGAACTAAGTTTCCTTTTCCCATCTGTCTAGTTTATTGCACTTTGTTTTTTTTCTTGGCAAAAAGAAATTATGAAATTCAGACACCGAGTTACATTATGTGGATTCTATTCTCAGTCAGTGAAGGCACTGCTTTACATGTGTGAAGATCGCGTACATATTAACTCATAGCCCTTCCAATCTGAGTTTCTATTTTGAGCAGGCACAATCTATGTGATTCAGTTACATTCCACAAGATCTAATCTGCCCTTTAAGCATGTAACAATTGATGGATTCCAGTCAATGCACAAGTTCTGTACCCAGCTCACATTTGATCTGCCTCTGGGTGCCCTTGTGAATGTGTCATGAAGTTCTTAACAAAGAGCTTTTTTTCCCAGAATCAATACAGAGAGCGAAATAAGTCATTAACTTTCATCTGTAATTTGACACTGGAACTCATACAAGTAGATAGTTTCAACTATGACAGGTAGAGTGTTACAGAAATAGAGTGATGGCCATCTAAGAGTGCATTCCCATAGATTTAGATCGATCCATCTAGATCGACCTAACTCCCTGGGGGTTCACGCTAAATTGCTGTCAGCCGAGCCCGCACGGTAGTTAATTACCCCCTTACAGCTTTTAGTAGGCGGGACAGACACTTAAGCCGGCTAAGCTGACAGTAATCTAGTGAGACTCCCCACAGGGATAGATCGATCTAAAATCTGTGGGAATGGGGTCTAAAAATGGTTGACCTGGTAGTAACTGCAGCAATTACTGTGGAAGTAGTAGTAACTACGATTACTAATCTAATTTTTACCAACGAGGAGATTTTCCATCAATTTACCTGGGTAAGAACGTAAAAACCCTTTCTGTCCTCCAAAGTATTGCCACAGAAGATTTGGATCATCCTCTGCATTTTGCTTCCATACGTCGTCCAGTCCCTCTGTCCACTTCAGGCCATTCAGGATATCTTTATCTGTTCAAATCACAAAATAAAATGTTATGCTGATATTACCGTTTTTCTCACAACTCAGTTTCTGCATAATACCTGCCGCCATGCAATGGTTAATTGTGATTTTTATCTGATCCTGCTTCAGTATACTTTAATTAATTACATGTTGGATTTAGAAGAAGAGTGTGTGCAAGTATATTTCTTTCAGTTGGATGTACCTGCATATGTATGTGCTTGCATACACATGCATGTGTACTTACACTGTACATATCAGCAATAAACATATGCTTTGTAACATTTAATATGTGCATGCATGAGAGCACATGCATATGAATACACACCACAACTCAGAAAATACCTGTTTAATGATATGTGTGTGTGTGTGTGTGTGTGTTTGCACAGAACACGTACCTCCATAGTATATCTCCACAGGGATGTGTACGCTGGAGATGGTCTCGTTGATCCCCTTGCCAAACTTAGGAGAGTAAGCCAGCGTACTTTTGTCCAGAGTTTTTGCATTGTTGAACTTATAGTTATCTATCTGAAATTGTTCAAATAATATTAATAAAAATTAGTCTTTCATTCAAATTGTTTTATTCTACATTTTTAACAAAAAACTTAGGCCAAAGGTAACTATAATTTTGTCATAATTTAGATGTTAGAAATCACTTAGGGTGAGTAAAATACCAAAGAAAGTACATACATCAATTACCACCAACCTTGAAACTAAAATGTAATTAAGTTATTTTTTCTTCTCTCTCATAATTTAGACATTTTATTCAATAAGTACTGGGCAGCTTTTCTCAACGGTTCAAGCAATTAGACGTCAAATTACTGCCAGAATTCCCTGACATTTTGAAGATGATAAGCTTTTAAGCTTGACACAGGATGAACTCTGAGATCACTCTAGGATAAAGCTAAACTACATAGCATGACAAAGGAAAATGTGGTAAAAGAACTGTGTAATATTACAAAACATTTCCCTGGGCTAAATGAGAACATGTAAAACATTTGGCTAGAATTCACTATCTTACAGCAAGTGGTTCTGTTCATGAATTGGATCTAAAAATAAAAATGGCATCATCTTATCATTTAGCTCCGCTAAAATTACTGTCTCAAATGTTTTTCTGCTAAAACTCACTGTTAATGAATCATCTTTAGGGGAAATTGCAGCAATTTCTTCTGCAGCCTTCACTGATTTCTGAAAGAGAATTGCAGACATTAGTTTATCTTCATCTCACTTTGAGTAGGCAAATATACCATGGACATACATGATGATGCAGCACTTTCCACCTAAACATATTTTAATTATCAAAATACCGAACAACAGAATTACTATTACAGTGGTATTAATCGATGTACCCTGCTCTAACTTTTGTAATACTTTCATTTTTTTTCTTCACCCCCATCTCCAGTCCAGGGGTCATATCCTCGAGAGGGTGTTTAACTCAACCAAGTACCACTGAATTACCATTGATTTTCAGAAGTGCATTTACACATCAAATCCCCCAGACATATAGCACACAAAAGCTGAAAACACCTTTTCAATTGATTTATATGTTTACACAGACAAATAACAAATAACAAGGAGAGGGGAAGGGATGTTTTTAAAACAATGTAATATCTGTGGCAGAACTTTGCATCTACCCCTGGCATATTTCGCAGCACTAGCACATAAACACCCCAAAGTCTTAGGGGGCAGCACTTGCACATCTACACCTGAGATATAGGTGGCAGCACTAACAGAACTACCCCAAATACAGAAATATTCTCAGCAGCAACAAGACAAATGAAATATGGAATACATCATACATGGCGTGTAAAAAAAAAAAAAAAAAAAAAAAAAAAAGCCACCCAAAATGATTTGTAAAGAAATACTGTTGTTATGCGAGGTTTAGTTGCCAAGTATCCCAAATTACTCGGGTTAGACCCACACTGAAATTTTATTTGTTGGCAGTTTTGCCTATATGCTCTATAGCATATGCACATGAAAATTGCAAGCAGCTATGGCAAAACTTGCTAGCTTCAACCCCTATATATAGTCAATGGTGCAGTTAGGCTAGCAATTTGACGAATTGGCTAGGAATAATTCTAGCTAAACACCCAACAGTCAGTAAACCTTCTGACTATTTTGAATTTAAAGGGATAATGACTGTTTGTTTTGGCCAAAAAATGAATTTTCTCGGAGTAAACAACAATTTTCCCATACTTCCCAGTGGTTAATGAATCCTTTTCTACATTCCAAGTTAGTCCCTGTTTTTTTTCTAAAAAGTTTGGTTTTATGTTATAATCTCTTAAGAGATTATTACTGAGTATAGCCATCTATGGAGGTCACATGGTCTGATGACAAGCTCAGATATCAGAATAATAGCTATAACTGCCATTTTTTTGTGGTAAACAGAATTTATTTTATTTCTATGAGTTGTTTACAATTTTTTATTGTGAAATATAGATCTCATACAAAGAGTTATTATCCCTTTTACCACAATAGTTCTTCAAGTCAATTTCTTGCAAATGCCAAGTTCCACTAGCACATATAATATTTGGTTATTGCTTAAGTTAATCTATGCTTACTAGGGAAATTTGACCAGCTTTTGATCTTTAACAAATTGCCACTGAAAAAAAAAAACCTAATTTTGGCCCAAAAAAGGAAACCCTGAAGGTTACACATTTCAGCTGTACAAACAGACTGTATACTTTTCAAAGTCCACAACTGACATCTTTTCCCTGTGGAAGAAAAAAAAAACAAAAACAGTAGAACAAAAGGTTACCTAGTTATCAACCTAAACTGTCACTTTCCTGTCATTTGCCTTGAAAATGATCATGTCAAGACAAACTTCTTTCATGATAAAGGTAAACTGCCTATAACCCTAAGGGGAAGGGGGCAGTGGGAGGCAGCCCTAAAACCTTGCTCAGTAGAGACAGAATGGACACTGACAGGAGTAACAAGGGCACCATACAGATAGTCAAATGAAATAGGTTGAAGAGTGATTTTGGGTCCATTTCCAGTTCAGTTGTTCTACATTAACTTGACAGCAGAACATTTAATTAGATGAAGAAATTGGTATGTGACCCATTTCATAAAAGAAAAACATTCTTGCGTTTTGTAAAATGATTAAAAACGTGCACATTTTTTTCCTTTAAATGAAAAATAAATTTTGTCTTACCTATCATTGTTTCCTGTGTAACAAAATCACTGGAAACACATTTTACTTACTGAGAAATAAAAAACATTTTCATCTTTCAATTAAGTGTCAATCTTCCCTCCCTGCCCCCCCCCCCCCCTTTTTTTTATCATTTAATCATTATTTACTCATGACGAAATTCACTATAAATTTTTTTGGACACTAACAACATGAAATTCATTTTTACCTTTAAAGCTTCAATTTTTTTCCCAAGGACCTCTAATCCCAGTTTATTTGCTGTCTCTTCCACCAAATCTTCTCCATTGACTGCCTTCCACTGGACCTTGCTGGCATCATAGCTGTTGTAGCTCTAAAACATTAATGTAAATTTACTATATTAAAGGTGGAAAAGGGGTAACGCATATTGTTGTAATTCTTCAAATTCAAGGTTTTGATAACTCTTGTCACATAATAATACTCTGTACTGATACAGAAATGATAAATGAATTTAACAATTTTATGAGAGAGAGAGATAGAGAGAGTAATGAGCACAAGAGACAGACAAGAAGAATGCCAGAAAGTTTAGGGAGAAATAGTTCATGGACCAGTTGGAGAAAGGATTAAAGTTTATGTGTCAGCATGAACATATGCATGTGTATAGACAGGGGTGGGGGTGTTGGTAGGGTATATGTGCTAGTAACAGCATAGTTTTCCTTCTAACGGTTGATCAAAAAGGACTCCTAAACAGTAAAATAAAAATAGCTACAGTTGAAGTCACTTAGAGAAAAGATAAGTGCTTTATTTCCAACTCTGGGGAAATCAGCTATTCCAGTTTACAGACTCATCTAACCACACAAAATCAGCAGGGAAAAAAATAGTACATTAATTGTTTACACAATAGTCAAAATATAAATTATTTGTTTGATCAATTTTCTAGTCCAACATATAATCAGGTCTTGCTTGCTTGGAAACAATTATCTCATTGAATTTAAGCCATAAATCATTGAATATGTATCTATTGACATATATTCACAAAACAGCCATTTTTAGCTTATGATTGTTGTAAACATTGTCCCTGGCTAATTTGAAACCTTGGGCATTTGAAACTGAAACTATGCCAAGCAATTTTTGTCATTGTTGTGTCCTACATATTAGGTTAGCGTTCAGAATAGAAGTGATCGTACTAGCAGGGTCGATCTATCTCAGTAGGGATTCTTGACAAGGTCCAGTCTGGCATGCCCACATGTTCCTAGGTACTGTAATGAACTTTGTGGTCCATGATATTGTTCATGTTGCTTTGAGAGGGGGCATGCCAGACAATTTAGCCAATTACACTGACCACACCTGAGCGATAGTCCCTGATGAGGTAGATCGATCTTGCTTGTACGATGACTTCTATTCTGAACAAAGACTTAAAGAAAAATTATCTCCTGGCACTACTTGCTGAGCAGTCAAAAAAAGAAAAAAATCATCCCTGTGCATCTCTGCGGAAGTGCTGCCACTCATTCTAATTGTCACTTTCATCGAAGACAAATGAAGAAAGTACTAGTATGTTTCATACATTGTAACATATTATGTAGCACCATTATTAAAAGCACATTATAAAACTGGTGTTCAATTTAAACTGAAACATCCAGTAAATGGAAGATGGGAAACAAGGTTGCATGCAGGACCATCTATATTGAAATCAGTTTTACATTAACTTGAGAAAATGGACATTGTGATTGCAATGGAACTTTGTTGCTACTCACAGGAACACATAACAGATGATACATCCATCTTTCCGTATCACGTACTTACGAGCAAGGCTCAAGATCACCAACGCAAGCTTCTTAGGTGATTATAAATATATCACCAGTAACATTAGGCAATTATCAAACAAAGCAAGAATAAAAAATGTATATTCTCTTTTTTTTTAATTTGAAGGGATTATAAACCCACCAATTCACCCTCTTACTGCCCTGACCACCGATCTTCAAGATCATATTTATATTGGTAAGTCTTCTCTCTGAAATTAGGCCACAATCACAACAGCTGACTAACAGATCTGTGGATCAAATATGGCTGACCCACTTGAATGCTTGTCTGGCAATCCCTGTGGGGAATCCATTCAGTGTCTATTAGGGCATTATACAACAAGCTTTTTTAAGTAAGTCTCCATATTTGATCCACAGATCCAGTCTGGCATGCCCACATGTTCCTAGGTACTGTAATGAACTTTGTGGTCCATGATATTGTTCATGTTGCTTTGAGAGGGGGCATGCCAGACAATTTAGCCAATTACACTGACCACACCTGAGCGTTAGTCCACTGTTGTGAATGCGGCCTTTGAATAAAGGAACTGGACATCGCCATATTTGTTCCCTTTGCATATCAGAGCAATAAACTCACACCATTATTGTGATAAAATGTCATAACTGTTGAATGTGCTAATCTAATATACAGCTCCATAGAGATCTGGAAATACAATGTCTTCTCAACAGAGATACCAGTAGGCTTAAATCAATACATCAACTCGTAAAACATTAGCAACCATAAAAAGGTCAAACAAATCTGAGTTTACCTGCACTGTATGATGGGACTGTTCTCAATTATTTTAGCTTTTGCAAGATGCTGACTGGATAAATAAATAAATAAATAAACACTTAGTACAAAAGCCTGTGTGTAAAATTTCATCTTAATCATAATGCTTGCTAAAAAAGATGGACCCTTCTTCAATGTAAATGCATCATAATTCTCCATATTTCATTTTGCTGTTCCATGTGTCTAACCATTAGGAAACTAACAGATCTCAGTATCGAATTAAGCGTGATTTTGGAAAATGGCCGGTTTACTTCTCTTTTAGGCATGTAACTCACATTAGGGGTGTGAATTGATGATAGGTGTCACTAAATTCCAGTCTTTGAGAGCCACAGTTAGTGCCTTGTTCACTTGCATAACTTCATTATGATGAACCAGCATTCAGGAAGAGCACAAACAAAAAATCTCACAGGCTTTAAAAATAAATTGTTTCTGGTACAATGGCTCTCAAGGCGTGTTTATAACTAGTTCAACTTAAGAACAGGAAATAGTAGTGATGCAATCAGAAATACATATGCTAGGTCAGAAGTTCAAAGATATACATTTTAAATTGTAATTAAAAGTTATCAAAGTCCAATAATCATTTTTGAACATTCGATGTTCATAATTTTTTTCCTTGGCTTCTATAAATTCAGTCTGCTGTTCTAAAGTAATCCGTCTTTTCACTTTTTCACCATTCACTGAAGTGCTAGATCACTGTTATCCTTTCCTTTTCTCAGCTTTTTAAAATGTCTCTGCCCTGTTTATTTAATGGTCACAGGTACTATTAAATATTTGATGGACATAATATCAGTCACTCTGATATGCCCTGACTCAATTTAAACAAACACACCAAGGCAGTTACTTACCTAAGCAGAAGAATAGAAGGGCCTTAATGAAATTTTACTAGCACTATAATTCCTAATCTGTTGTTAAATTTAGCAGAATCTAAAAGGCTTGGCCTTCAGTCAATGCATCTACTCCATATCTAAAGTAGCTAGATGCATCAATTGCCCTTTGGGGCTCTCTTCATTAAGGAACACTGAGTGTCCCAATGTACTTTAAGAATAGCATTTCCCTTTCTAGACTGATCCTTGTTAAAATTGAAAGACCATGAAAACTTTTTTTTTGGATTATTATAAGTAAGAAGTTAACATCAGAAGATTTTTTGTGAAGATTTTGTGTTTCAGGATTCTAGATGATAGGAACATGTGGGAAGAGGGGGATGGAAAAAATAAAGGTCCCTGTTCCTTATCAAAATGGGGGGGACCTAACCTCATAGAAGAATTGCAAAATTATCAAAATTGCACAATATAATAATAATAATAATAATAATAATAATAATAATAATAATAACAATTTCACAAAAAAAGTAATGGGAAAAGAGGGGAAAAGAAGGGTTGGTGATGAGGAATAGAAGGCAGGGGGTGAATCCTCTTCTTGGCAAATTTTATCCCCTCATGAAAGGGTTTACATAACAAATTCCAAAATCCTATGGTGAACACCTCCAATGTACAGTTTCTAGGAAGCAATAGGCTTACAACAATAGGATAGATCAATGATATATATTTTTAATGTACTGTTTTAACCAGGAAATGAATAAGTGCACAAGAACACACATACACTAAAAAACAGACCTTCCCTCAACATATTTGTACAGAAAATCATCTTGGTAAAATAACCTTTATCAAAACATTCCAAACACAAAATCTATTTGCTTTATGGAATTAAACCTTTATCCTCAACCTCTATGCCATTATTTGCATCTCTGGGTTGACATGGTTACATACTACTGTATGCTCTCAAAACTGCAATGCTAACAGTACTGAGAGAATGAACAAGTACTGTATTGCATGTTTATCAGTTTTTCTGCCCATCCTTCCATCTAAATAATGATGAATTCTACCACAGACAACATCTAGCCCACCCCTCCCCAGCAAATCCTGACCATACAATCCCTGTCTTGATTTTCTACTTCTACCTATAAATGTATGTCGTACCTTATAATACAAACTAGAAATCAGTTAATCCTTTATTACCCTCTATTATGTATATTTAGCATGTTTTTTTATTGCTATATTTAGCATGTTTATAATTGTTATTAAGAACTCTCTGCTCATATTAGAATAAAAATGCTATCTAGATATAATATGTACGTTAACTACAAATAAATAATTCATACCATTACAAGACAAAAACATCAATATTATTCAACACATATAGTTTTTTTTTCTTAGAGATGGCTTTCAAATTACCTATACACCCATAAAAATTATTGTTTTCATGCAGAAAAATTAACCCGTTTACAAAAAAAATAAGGCAAGCTAACTTTCATTACACTGGAAAATCCTATTCTGACTCATGAATGCCATCAGTCTGCCTATACTTAAAGTAATTAATTTAATATAGCCACAATAAAAGATTATACCACGGTGTACAAAATATATCCAGCTTAGGGCCCCCTGTAAGCCGAGTGCATCAAAAATAGTTCTGGAAATATCAGGTTTCGAGGCTATTTGTAGCACACCTGATGGCAGTGGTCTTAGGATACAACAATATATAGACCTAGATCTCATAAAACGCCATGTTTACACTTGGCAAACTCAAAGGAAGTACACCTGAAAAGGGATATACTGTAGATGATAATAAAATGCAAAATATTTACACCATCATAGAAAATACCTAATCATACACTTCCCACAGACAATTGTCTAAAGTTTTTCAAATCTACCTGGATTTATCAGTATGGATTGTAAATGAATAGTGTACATAACCTAATGCAGTGGTAAAAGAACATGAGTTCCGATAACTCCCTGAAGAACCTTAGCCACTCAATTTCCTAGTAATATTAGTACTGGGGAGTCTCACACTTAACTCCCAGAATGTTATTCCCAGTAATGTATGCTGAACATAATACAGAGGTAAGTTCATGTGCAGTGAACTTCAGCACTTGTGGTAGGAAGTGGGCATTCTCTCTGGTTGGTCGATAAAAATTTTTATCTGTTTTATCCATTTATTCATTAGTTTATTTCAATTACCTTCTCATTAATCTTTTTGTTTCTTTCCTTCTTTCTTTTATTGTATTCATATTGAATTAAATTCAGCAATTCTTTCTTCCATTCATTCATTCAATTTTTTATTCATTTATTTAATCTACTTTTTATTTTTTAAATAGTTTTGCAAGTGACCTTATTCACTATTTTCATAAATGGAAATAAAGGTACTAGCTATTATATTTTCTGTTATAAATTTGAAAAAAAAAGCCAAGTACCGAAAATTAAAAAAATAAAAGACAGTTCAAGTTTTTAGTAAAGATCATAATATTTTCAATCGCAAATGGAGTACGTGTTTTAGAATGTAACATCTCAAGTTTCTAGGGCAACTATGCATTCCACTATACTACACACATTTTGCACAAAATTCAAACGAAACTAATTCTTTACAAATCTCAAAACTAATTTTTAAATGAATCAATTGATATATAAGAAGCAAAGCTTAAAAAGAAAGACCTGGGTTCTTTTTTAGGATGTATGATAATTTGGGTGATAATTCATATTTTAAAATAAATAAATAAATAAAATACTGGAATAAATGAGGTGTTTGAAATTCATGAGTGATTACTGTAATCAGAGAGCCATCTATAACTAAGATCAATACTTGCTTGCAATAAAGTTATTAAATCCTCTTAGTATGCAATTTTCATGTAAACACATGGACTCCATTCCAGCTATCCACAGACAAAGCTGGCATAACGCACAAGCAGGGCTGAGAACACAGAGAGAGAGAGAGAGAGAGAGAGAGAGAGAATGAGGGAACAAAAAAATTGCCTTATTTGTGAAGAATTAAATTATTTATATGTCATTATGTAATTTTTAAACTCTGTTTTCCACATATAGAGGTAGAAATCCTCTAAAAGCTGGGGTAGCGCTAGCAATTTTTTTTTTGCTTAGCCAAATCACCACATTTTTGTCAATTTGTTACCAAAATGGTTATAATTTGGCTAAAACATGTCAAATCAAGCCCTTTTTCTATAGCCAATTTAAGTCAGTTTTAGCATTTGGCTAAATTGGTGAGTGTTAGCGCTACCCCAGAAAAGGATGCCAATCCCCTTCCCTATATGTATAACATATGAAATATCGCAGCAACTTTGAATAGGGCGGAACTTCATGACCCTGTGTGTAATTTGTCTTAGACACACAACCATTACTAACAGAATTCTCACAACATTCTGAACACTCACATAATAAAACTGAACTAAGGTCACTTTGTAGAAATATTTGTAATGATTTACTTAACATTTTTGGAGAAAAGTTTCAATTAAATAAAATTTGTTTCGCATTTAGCAAAAAATATATATTTCAGTTTTTTATGAAAGTCTATCCCTGACTCTGCAGTTCTATTTATAAATAGGTATAAATACACTGATGTCAGTAATGCACAACCCAATTTGAATGCTCTTCTCTGCCAGAGAATAAAGAATGCCCATACTCTTTGACCGCCCATATTGACCGATTTAGTATGATGTGACTTGACCTGACTGACCAGCATTTATAAAGGAGTTTGAGTATCCAGCAACTAGCAAACCTTTACCAGGTGACAGCCACAATACTTTAGGTAGCAACCCTAACATATTAAAAAAATAAACAAATAAGAAAACATATTATAAAGAGACTAAGCGTGACGTATTTAAAAAGCTTTACTCCTCGTGCCTCAGTGGTGCTACACTTGCTGCGCACCATGAATAAATATAATAACAATACATATATAATATATATAATAACAACAATAATACTGATATTATACCTACACAGCCCTGCCTTAAATAAGTGATCTGGGTTCTTTTCAATACAGCCACCACAATATGCATCACAGTCAATACTCATCATATAAATCAACTTTGAACAGTTTCAAGCTGCCAAATTCTCTATACAGATAATGATGCAGTTTAAAATGTCAATTTGGCTACCGCAGAATCCTCCATCTATTAGTGTTAACGTTTGTCATAAAGAAATTTCATCCTGGAGTAAGTCCAGTGAATTCAGGCTTCCTGAGCTCTGCCTGATGTCAGTTGGCACACCCATGCATCATATCAGCCCCAGTGCTTTCTCTTTGCAAATCAAGGTCTAATTGTGTGGCTCTTCTATGATTATCACAACGGATCCATATCTATATTGGATTCCTTCTCAGTGGAAGAGAATCAACTGTAAACTACATTCTAGCTCCTTTAAGTCTGAGTAAAAAATGTTTTAGGGTCTAAAAATGAAGGGGAAAACTCCTAAGTAGAATGTGCTTTGAGTAGGTATGAGACCTGTCATTTACCTAGTCTCTTTTGTGCATAGTGCACTAAAAATGTGCAAGGAGTTACTACATATCTTGGTGTTCTTCGTCCCAAATGTACTCCTAAAATATGACCTGGATGCTGAGCTACTGAATTCCTTAGGCTGTATTCCCAGAGCTTTTAGATCGATCTATCCCCGCGGGGAGTCTCACTAGATTACTGTCAGATAATCCAGCTTTAATGTCTGTCCCGCCTACTACAAGCTGTAAGGGGGTAATTAACTTTCGTGTCCGCTCGGCTGACAGCTATTTAGCGTGAACCCCCAGGGAGTTAGGTCGATCTAAAGTAGATTGATCTAATCTCTGGAAACGGGGTCTTAATGTGCATTTAGTGAACCTTCAATTTGGATATTTGGATGTTTGGATGTTTAAATTGTAGGTGGGAAAAGTGGAGGGGGGGATTAGGAGTACATGCAGCTTTCTCTTTTTACTTGATTACTCGAGTAGCAATATTCTAGCTGCTATAGAATCACTAGCAGAACTGACATAATCAACTCTTACCTGTTGCAGTTGAGCCTCCCCTAAAACATTACTAACATATTCATCCAATGACTGTTTCAGGTCTTTTGTCCACGTTTTTATGCTGAAATAAGGAAGAAGAGTTAACGCACCTTCCAAGTGACATTTACATTGTTAGTAATCTACATAAGAAAAATATGACCAATGGTAATAATGGCAATAATTAATGTATTTAAAGCTTGTTTGATTTATGAGTTACTACGCTTACCCCCAGATTTACTGCACTGGCGATAAATTGTGTATGTCTTGTTAAGTAAAGGATACTGGAACTAGTGTGGGCACGGTGATGATTGAACTGATTTTCCCACAATAAGACCCTAGCTCAGATCCCCCCCCCCCCCCCATTCCCAACACGTACATGTACACCACTAGGTGAGAAAAATTACTATTCATTTATAGCTTATTTTCATAAACTGTATAAGATCTTCTAAAGCACATGACACATTTACTTCACTTTTGTTTAACCTACACGTTTAAAGGGTCACGATTGTTTGTTTATTTTTCTATTCTTATAATTCAACGAGGTTTCCTTCGTGTATACAGAACAGCTGAGTTCAATTTCGATATGTAAAAAGGTTTTGAAAATTAACAGTAAATAAACTGCATAATACATCACAATACGACTGAAGGCATGTGTCTGCACAACAGGAAAGTCGACATATATCTAACGCTAGGCATTATGTTTATACACCTGTCTCTCACTGCCTTATGAGGCAGACATCGAGCCAGAGAAGATGTCCCGTATTCAAGCAGATTTCTTTCGAAATAGACAGACTTCACGGACAAAAACATACGAACTGCGCTCAATTTCATCGACTTACCTAGATTCGGTTGGAAATTGCGCCTTGCAGCTTATATATATCGTAATTAAAGCGAAGACCGCTGCTTCTATTCTCAGTAATCGAGCAGCCATGGTTGTAATAGCTAGTAGATTACCTTCGGCCTCGGTTTGGGGTTTCTAATTATAAACACGGTAAACTAGGTTAACAAGGCTCGTCTATCCGCATTTACCGTCTCGTATTGCCTCCCAGAGGAGATTGTCTTTACTTCTTTTGCGATTATTTTGTTTTGAAGGAGTATTTCAGGCAATTATGTCGATTGTGTTTTTTGAATTCGTTTTCTTTTATTTCACCCAAGATCAAGAGGGATAAAACGCACCTAGATGTACATGAAGTTTGAGTTCATTTATCATACATTTAAATCTACCTACATTAGTCAGTGACAAAAAGGATGTCATTAAAATAAATGGATGTGATAGCAATCGTCACGCTATTTTAACGCCCAGGATACCGTATGATACATTTCTCCATGTGGCATGTAAATGATAGATAGGAATCTGTACACGATACATAAAATTCACACCCGACTTCTCTACTGCATTCTCACATTCGCATTATCATTTTCTCATTGCTTGAGTGATATCTGTTATAACTCCTTGGTGATATGAAATAGTGCGACTTTTTTTCGAAATTTTCTTTGAACTAAATTACTACTGATAGTATACACTCAAATGCTGATCACTATAATGAAAGCTTTTAATCTAAATGTACTAGTGTCTTGCAAAAAAAAAAAATAATAATAATAATAAATAAATAAATTAATTAATTAAAGATAGAGAGGGATAATGTAGATAATGTTTTCATTCAATTATGTACATGTATGATTAGGACATTATATTATTTCATTAAAAGTCGGGTGCTGTTTGCTTGAAGAACGCACTTTTCTGCTTCAGATTTCATTTGAGGATTCCCGGGGCAAAGAAACTTTCTGGGCTTTGTTGTATTATCTTTGTCTCTGTTTATGTCATCAAACGCAATCACCACATCTACAGTGAATAAAAAAACAAGCCGGGACACATTCTGTTTCACGCAAGCCTGTAGGCTGTACTACATTTTCAGTGCCTAGTTTTAAAAAGGTGGAGAACAATGTTTGTAAAAACTTTCTGAAATGTAGGTATATGTATATTTCCAAAACAACAAATACATGCTAAGTAACAAACTTTATAACGTTCAAATAAAAAACGCTTTAAAAATATTTACATAACAGAGTAATGCTAGAAAACATGCGATACATAGTCAGAATGCGCTCAATTCAGATGTCATTTCGTAGCCCGCTTTTTATCCCCAGCCCCGTTGCAATGGGGAATACCCGCTTTAAGGGTCTGCCGCTAGATGGCGTGGGGGTGAAAGCANAAAAAAAAAAAAAAAAAAAACGGAAAGGAAAAATAATGTAAATAATGTTTTCGTTCAATGTACATGCATGACTTGAAAATAATATTATTTCATTAAAAGTTGGGTGCCGTTTGCTTGAAGGACGCACTTTCCTGCTTCAGGATATCCGGGGAAAAGTAAATTTCTGGGCTTCGCCGTATTATCTCCGTCTCTGTTTATGTTATCAAACGCAATCACCACATCTACAGTGATTGTAAAAACAAGCCGGGACACATTCTGTTTCACGCAAGCCTGTACTACATTTTCAGTGCCTAGTTTTAAAAAAGGGTGGAGAACAATGTTTGTAAAAACTTTCTGAAATGTATATGTTTATTTTCAAAACAACAAGCACATGCTAAGTAACAAACTTAATAACGTTCAAATAAAGAAAACTTTAAAATTATTTACATAATACAGTAATGCTAGAAAACATGCGATACATAGTCAGTCATTTCGTAGCCCGCTTTTTATCCCCAGCCCCGTTGCAATGAGCGCAGCACGCGCGCACCCACGAGAGAGAGAGAGAGAGAGAGAGAGGGATTTATTTTCTGCCCTTAACTTTCCATTCGGTTTATCAGAATTACTTTTTGGTATACCTTAAAATTATACTAAGTGTGCTTAACTTTGACATTTACCTGTTGCATTCCCTCTAAATCGGGAAATATTCCATTACTGATCAACTCTACATTCTGATATCAGGGGCGTCTACAATGGTATGCAAAATTAAAGTATGAGCACACATATTCTTATAATAATGGCAGAGGCTTGATAGCAATATATCGATATTTGTGATTCGATTTTCAATAGAATGAAATTGTAAAAAGGTATCTGCAATTTTGTTTTATTTTTACTGGCTATTTTTGTATAATGAGGTTTTGTATAAAGGAAACATAATGAATGAATTTCCCCTGGATTTGCTTACGTTAAATTCCATGAGGTAAAAATGAAAACTCCACGCCCGTCAGAAAAATATGCTTTGTATTGGCTTTCAGGTTAAGGTTATTTCATCATATTGGTGAAAAGACCACTTTCTACTTTTTTTACTTCTCATCCCAACCCCTGAACCAGTTGAGGCAGCTTGTTTAACTCCATCTTCACTTAAAAGTATGCTTTTTATTTTGGTAATTAGAATCAGTCTTCTGATAAAATAGACAATGTACTCTTCATTATATGCTTGTATGCTTCTTGTTAATCTTGTTTATAAAAAAAAACATTTGGGAAGCTGTAGGAGATGTAGATTATCGAAATGCGACCTTTTTTCCATATCCAACGAATTAGTGAATAAATTGAAAGAAGGAAAAAGAAATTGTTGACTATCAGGCGCGTAGCCAGCCATTTCAGCAGAGGGGATGTCATTTCCTTAAAAGTGGACCTTTTACCATGAAACCTTCGTGTAGTTCATATGTTGCCCCAAGCGGACGACCTTTTTCTGGGATTCGCCCTCCACCCCCCCCCAGATACAGGCCTGTTTATTTTGGTAATTAAACAACATAAAGGATCACAGGAGCCGAGGGAGGTACCCCCCTGCACACACACACAAATTTTTTTCAACCACGCCAGTTCTAATACAGGAAAAAGGGTAACTATAGAGCCCTGCATGCCATCTTTTTTCAATCAAATATAAGAAGTACTTCAAATATTTAAGCAAATGTAAAATGTTAAATCACACCAAGTACGTTATCCTTTCACCTTGCAAAATTAAAACTACCAAAAAAAAAAAAAAAGACACAAAACTGGACAAATCCACATATATGTTTATTGCAAAAAATGTATTATCATTTTATCTTTATCAATTTTCAATTCAATTTATTTCTGTACTGGTACATAGATGGTCATGACCTTGTTAAGACCATTATGTTCCAGTTTCAAGATTTGAAATTTCCCAAGGGCTAGCTATCATTTAAACTAGGGTTATTCAGGCCAACTCTGCTTCATTTATTATCTACGTACTTAGCAAATTGCAGATCTCGAAAACATAAGATTAGGAACATTCATATCAGAAGCAAATAAAAAACTCAAGCATTCTCGCCACATACAAAAGAATGTGGGCTCTACTGAAGAAAGGCTGACTGCAGCTGCTTTAGTATATTCCTACCCACTACTGTGGCAGTGGAACACTGCATCATCACTGTATTTTTGAAAATGAGGAATGTAAATTTCTTATAAAATGGGAAAAAAAAAACAACTCTAATTATTAGCAAAGCAGATTTATTGTTTGAAAAATATGAAGATATACAAGTCTTTTTTTGCTTTTTGTTTAATGTTTATTTAATGAAATACTTCCTAAATACTATTTTCCTACGGTGAAATTAACATAATTTTACAAACATGATAAATTATGAAGAAAAACTACTGCTGACATGTAATTAGCAGAAATACAATTTTGTTCAACAAAAAATGGCACAACGACAGCATAAATAAGTTCTTTGGCTATATACTAATATATATATATATTGTAGACTGCAGGTATATAAAGAGTTTGCATAAGTTATAAATAACAATATACTACCCATAGAATATATGACAAAGTATTCATCTGAAATACTCTTTTAGAACGCCTGTTAATTCCTCAACAGTTTTCCAAAACAGTGTAGTCTTTGTTGAAAATTTGCAATTTAGTTTTTCCTAAATTCTGAACTAAAGCCTCTAAGAAATAATGACCTTCAAAATTAATGCGTTCACTTTTAAATATAAAAGAGTATAACATACAAAGGTGAGGATTGTATGAATAACAGTTTTTAGTTTAAAAATGTATGTGTGAAACACTTAATGTGATAATCTACCTTTAAATAGGCTAAAATCATCTCATATATATATAAATATCATGACATGTAAAATCTACACCTTCCTTAGATTTTCCAGCTAATTTAAATTTGGTATTCCAACTTGTCTAAGCATCTGTAAATGTTGAATGAAAAATATGTATACCTCCGATACTAGAACATACATTAGTTTACGTTGCCTACATGGATTTAGACACTAAATGTAAGTTCTAGTATCAGAGTCATATACATTTCTCATTCTAATTCTACTGGATGACTAAAAACATTCACTCAATCATCTGTAAATCTTTGTTCAAATAATGATTTCAATTTTTCTTTTTCTGACTTCAGACTCCATATTTTGTCACTGCATAACAACCAAATAACATAAAAGTCTTAATAAACAAAACTACATAAATATTGCATACACATTAACAATATGTGCTTAGTATAATGGAATAATTAATACAAATACATTCAAGATGTCTGTCTCTGATATGTTAAGTATCACCTGGCCCTGATTAAATATATAATTATATATTATCTTTGCACTGTTCTTTCACTTCAGGGAATGTTTATTTAAATATCAAAATACAAATGATACTAGGTTCATTGCTGAGGGGTGGGTGGGGCTGTCTAAAATAAACATGCGGATCCTTGTTTCTGGATTTTCAAATAATGAAGATTATAATCATAATTTATTGAGATTTTTTCACAATTAATATTCAAGGTCATACCTAATTTCAAACAGGAAGTAACCTTAATGGGAAACATTTTCTTGCAAAGAAAAAAATTCTTAGTACTGGTGTTGAGTACAAATTTAAGAGATTAATTTCACAAATTAAATCCTTGCTAGTTTAAAGTTGGCAAAACTTGTTGCTCAAATGTCTCAGTGAATTGTCAGTTTATCTACTAATTCATATTACACACCTCAAATATTGGCTACATTTTCAAAATCCAAGTCTCTTGGCATAGTTAAAATTATTCTTGAGAAGTATAATATCAAATGTCACCAAAATCTTCCAACTATGGACTCTGATTTGAAAGCAGTAAAATTCAACGGTTACCGTTTTCATTCAAATTCAATATACACTTAATTGCCTTGAAGAAAATACTAGAACAATATGAAATATACAGAAGGAAATGAGAGATAAAAATCATTTGGAGGAAAAAAAACTCCATTTACAGATTTATGTTAAAAAATTATGCATTTTGTCAACAAAAACATCAGCTAGGTCAGTTTGCACAGAATCAGCATAGAGATATTGTTTTGGTGCACTAACACTATGCCTTCTTTGATGGGCCTTAGCTACCTATTAAAGCATTCTCTTCAAACCCAATAGCCCCATGAGAAGTATTAATCCATTACTTAAGACATAAATACATGAAAATCACCATTAATCTCGTATAAGTCAGAAAAACTTTTGATATAATGTGATTCCATTAGGTACAATGGTCTTTCTATTGTAGCCTTAATATGAAACTTGTATGGATTTATTTCCAAGGAAAGGAGTACCGCCCATGTTAAGAAAACCTCCCAGTCTGGTGAATCATTAACCAGTTACTAGTCTAATGGATGTCTTTATCTTGGTATACAAGGTACTTGGATAGGCCCAGTCTGCCATATTTTCTACTGTGCCTACATATGGTTATGTTTTTTTTTTTTTTCGTTTCCAAAAGATGAATTATTAATTGGTGTTAAGTTATCAAATGCAAATATTGTTCAAGTCTTTCTGCCCAACAGAGTATTTATTTTTTTATCTTTAACTAAATTTGGGTAAAATGAATCAGTGCCAGTGCGAGTCAGAATTATGTATTCAAAACATGCTTCTTTTTAGCATAAATAATCAGTGGAAAAAGAACCTTACGTATACCTGGTCTTGACAAAGAAGTCTTTCATGTCTTCTCACATTAACCGTATATAAAACACATCAGGGATCACCAGGGATGGAAAAGGAAACAGAGGACTCTAAAACTCTATACAGTCAACTATTTTTTTTACAAAAATTCATCAATTTACCTTTTACTAGAGAAGAAAGGATATACATTCAATTCCAAAATACAAAGTCCTTGCACTTGTTTTTCTTATCTGCCCCTTTACATGTATATAATAATCAACCATAAAATCGTCTCTCAAATGTCCACAAAAAAAATTAACATTGTAACAGTTCACATCAATTGATACAGTTTGAAAGATATAGACCGATTGTTGGTTCGGACATTTTGATACCCCCCCCCCATGTCAAATACATCCACAGAGTTCTGTTTGCCTACCTTACATTTTCCCTAAAGGCATGTCTTACCACTTTAAAAATGTTGTGTACTTCACTTTAATATCTTATTTACCGTAAGAAGTAAAATCAGGTCATAGAGTTAATGTTATTCCTCAGGACATGAACAATTTTTTTTACAGTTTTATACATTAAGGGCTAGAGGGCAAGTCTTCTTTCTCTTTTTTTTTTTTTATCAAACAGTGTTCATTTTTAAATCAAATATCACCATAAAACATCACATAAATAGACCACTTCTAAATTACTTCAAAATCATTAGATGAGGAATAAAAGCATGAAGAGTAAAGATGATGCCCAGAGGTGAGAGATGGCACTGGTTCTCTTTCAGGGCAAGCAAAATTCAAATTCTGAAACCTATTTTTAGTTTTGAAGAAATGGAAAAGAAAAATCTGTTGCTAGGCATAAGTGGATAATTCAAAAAGAGCCATAAAATGTTTCTTATAGAGTATTCTGTTACTATGATTACCAACCATGATGTTTAAGAATATCAAACAGCAATATGATCATTTTAGAAAGACAAAAAATTATTTGCAAACTGCAATCAAAATGGGACAGATAAACTTCTGATTAATAAGTGTTTATGGCATTATTTTATCAAGAAATTTTTCCATGTAAACTCTGCTGATATGGTAGTAAAATATTTGCACTGGGCATTATGTACACTGTAGGGAAACAGGGGAGGATACCAAAGTCAAGTCAGCGATAAAGAACAAAGTAACCTGTCTTTCAAGTTGTCAACAATGGTATTTCCTAACAACAACATACATAATATACTTCCAATTACTTTTCTTTTTTTGCTACAAATTAAGCCCACTGAATACTACCTATAAATGGATATTTGTGTCAATACTACAATGCATTGCAATGTATTTTTCAAAGTGAAACCTATCTGATACTTTTAATCCTAACAATATATTATAAAGGCTTTGATCAATAATCTCATAATGTTATGAAAATATATGGAAGATCCTATAAAAATCAAACTGTCAAATCATGAATGCATAGATATTGATAAAAATTTCATTCTCTTTAACTCTCAAAATACAAACCTGAATGGTGTTTTAGAACATTTTGATGTAAAAAGTGCATAATCCTAAAGTAAAGTTTAATCTGTTTACACAGCATACCTTGGCAGCTAGGAGTACTTTAATACACGCCCTCTAAACAAGTCAAATATCAGCCTCAGTACTAGTGGTGTTGATTTAGGTATGAGCATTCTTTTAAAGCTGTGTATTAATTGTTCCCATTTTCTCTCGATACAAATCTGTAATGCATCATCTTAAGCTAGAGATTAGCTGGATAAAATGACAAGAGATACTCAGGAATTTACCAATTACCAATCATGTGTATAATGATAATAAATAAAATACTGTAGTTGCAAAAAGGTGGAAAAAATTAGACTTTTTTCCCAAACCTGGATAAAATACACACATAGCTGATTTTATCAGTTACTTTCTGTTGTAACTGTCTTTTTTCCCCCATAATTATAGATAAAATCAATTCAAATGGAGCTTTAGTATTGCTGCAAAAATTAAGGGATCAGGTATCAAAAGTATAAGTTTTAAAAACACATCATAGATAGAAAGTGCTTAAAAATCAAACTACCCTGTGTTGAAATATAACTAAACTCATAACTGGACTTGCAGTTGCAGAATTTCTCTTTTGGCGGAATATCTAAAACCAAATTCAAATTTCATACCTTAATCATAAATTTTTTCATACAAAATATAAATTTGAACAATTGGCAAGAGAGAGAAAGAGAAAAAAAAAGAATATCAGAGTGAGTCCAGAATAATCTCATTTTCAACAGAGTTGCAGTTGAGAACTAATCTACAGCTGGAAATCAGATCTTCCCTTGTGATGTGGATCCAAACGTCTGGAACGTGCAGGGTCGCTGCGATGAGAGTACTCCGAATAACGATCTGCCTCGTGTGGAGGTGGTGGCATCATCATCACAGGGTTGATCGCCATATTGGATTTCTTGTCCGAGGCAGTGTCGTAGTGGTAGCCATTCATCTCCGCTAAAGTAGAATAAAATATCATTAAGAATCTGAGGGGTGTCAATCTGTTAATTTCTGAGATTAAAAAAATTGCTTTCTGACAAATAGAATGTAAGATAAGGTATCTGTTAGTTATTGTTTTAGTGCTAGTTGCTAGTTCAAAGCTTTCATAGTACAAGCAAGCCATAATAAAGGTTAAAGGTTTTTCAGTTATGTAATTTCAAAATTGATCAAACACTTTCCTTAATCTTGCCTGTATCATTCATGACAGTAATTAACAGCATTCAATTTACATGAAGCAGTTGCAGTAAAGAAAACTGGGTATAATATCTAAAAATGATCTCGGGCTTCTCCAATGTAATCTTAACTACTATAGAGTAATATTATGATATAGGAGAATATAGGAACCCTAAAAGTGATATTTTATTAAACATGCATCTTGAATTAAACATGCATCTTGAGAACTTATCAACTATGTCATAAACAGGAAAAAGGCATTGTCTTCTGAGAGATATTACTAATTAAAACATGCAAATTGAAGAAAAAAATTCAAATTGTAGAAAATACATTTTGGTCTTAAAGATTCTGAAGGCTGACACTACTCAATAAAGCAATTAAATTCAATAAATAGTGTGTAACTCTAAAAAATTAGAAATGTAAAGAAAGTAATTTAACAGATCATAATGACAAATTTTCACAAAGTGATTTCCACTTCTCACTAAAAATTTAGTTAACAGGAATGTCTTGATTTGCACTAAAATCAAGCCCAACCAAAGGCAGTTTTCCAAAAACTCAATAATGACACACTGGAATCAGCTTTTATCCGTATGATCATGAGCTGGTGAAAGGCAAAGGCAGCCATAGCAGGGCTGGTGCAATGTTAACTTAATATATATCCAAGCAGAAGCATGGTAAAAGCAGAAATTGAAAATAAAAGTGTCAGTGAGTAAATGGTCCCAAATAAATAAACAAAATGTGACCAAGAAAACAGAACATACTCAGAGTGAAGTATCACTTTCCTCTCTCACCTCTACAACAGCAGGAGCTAAGTAGAAAATAGGGTGATTATGAAATACTATTTTACTTCTAAGGTCGCAATCAGTATGGTTATGGTGATAAAAATAATCATGTTTTAACTCAGGCTATGCACACCTCATGTCTCACTCATGGTCAGCAATCAATGTTGTGTCACCTATCGGTCATAGCACTGACAACTTAACAAAAGGTTTACAGGAGGATTTTACAGTGAGTGTCTGATTCTAATATAAAACGAGACATAGTGATGCTTTCATTCTGTGGACAATACCAGTACACATATTTTAGCCATATAACATATGAGTCTTCTGTTAATCAATTATAAAGCTCCCCACCCCCTAAAAAATATGTAAATGAAATAAAGTAAAAAACGTCAAAGACACTTATATTCAATAAAATAAAAAAATAATAATTTGGTGTTTTGAGAAAAAAATTGATCCTTGCAAAATAATAATGGTGGACATCAGGTTACAGTAAAAGAAATATATAGAGTTAAATCAGCGGGTATAGGTAACACACACACACACACACGCAGAAACAAAGTAACTTAGCACATTTACTTTATTTACAAAATATAGTTACCATATTTAAAGAGTATGGTTAATGAGATATGGAAGTTAATGAAAGTTAATGCAAAGGTTAATAAGCGAGGATTATGGCATTTTTTTTTTCAACAAAAGTTACACAAATAATTACACAGCTTACTGGCCAAAGACAGCTCTCTCTCACAAGTAGATGTAACTTCATATTAGTTATCAAAAGATCTTGTAGGATTGAAAACAAACTTTGATTTCAACTAAATCATGTCAAAATAAGGCCAATTATTTGAAAATGCTAAGTTTAAAGCAGAACACTTACATTTAGTCATCGTCTCACTCTTGTAATACGTTGGTAGTGCCTTAGGATATTTCAGTGCCAGAACAAAGGCCAGGATGCACAGAAAGAGAATATCAAAGATGCCGATGATGGCGAGAATGAACGCCCAGCGAATCTGACAGACGCCAGCGTTATAAAGACCCCCTTTGCACACATTGTAGACAATAAGATGGTCCCAGCCTGCTGGGTAGATGACACAACCCAGGAACATACACAGGACTGGAAAAAAAATCACAAATAATTATGGTTATTACTTGACATTTTCAAACATCACAATTTTTCTAATTTTTCATTTTTTTTTTTTTTTGCACTATTTATCATTTTCGAATACTCACAACAATGTATTTTCCGACACAATTCCAACTTACTTTTCAGAACTGGAATTTTAGTTATTATTAGCAAAACCTTGTATGGGGAGGAATCATCAATCCATGTTGTTCCAATATATTGAGTGAAGTACTTAAAAAGAATACCTATAATTAAACTTCATATGGTGTTTTTTAAGATAACAGTTACATAGCCTAGGAACACACAATGACTGAAATGCAGGGAAAGACTTAATTATCAATGTGTTAAACCTATTCCCACTGTTAAAAACTACACAACAATTGTTTTTTTTTTAAATGAAATCTGCCAGTTATATTACTATATTATGCAACCTAAATCCCTATTTGTACCGAAAACCTTTACTGATAATAGGGGAGGTTGAGTTTCATGACTTCCATGCAGATATTAGAAGATACAAATCCAAAAACCTACATGTATGGGTCATCTGACTTGTTATTATTTTCAAAAATTCGACAAAATTTTATGATTGAGTACCTGAGATGATGTCTAGAATGATAAGACCAGAAAGCATCCTAAATATTCGTAAATAATGTCACCATATCTATAAGTAGTGATAAGGATAAAGTCTTGGAGATTAATCATTTGTACATTCGGGATATCAAGACTCAAAAAGGATTTTTAAGGTATAACTTTTATCCAAGTGATTAAATTTATATTATAAAGCAGTTTATTTATATTTGTAGTATTAATATTTTGAGGTATTAGCTGTCACTTTTGGAACACTCAATATATTGCAGTGTCAATTCTACGTAGTTGATTCTATAACTAATCCAAGGTTGCCAGTCTATGAACCCAGAAAACTGAATATATTACATCATTTTTTTAACATGCCCGATTGATTTTATCACATATTTAACTAGTAAATAATATTACATACATGACTGATACAATTACTAGTAACAGGATTCCCTTTTGGTTCACAAATCCATGTTATAACCCAGGAAATGAAACTTTTTCCCCACAAGAGTAGTGTAATTGTCAAGTACAAGTATACAAAACTTGTAATAACAACAGAATATAATGTACTATAGTAAGCTTACCTGACAGTGCCTGTATAGTTCCACATATATAAAACACATAGTATGCTCTAAGGAAAAAGAATAGCAGGAAGCAGCAAATGCACAGCAGTATGAACAGTGCAGAGAGTCCGATGAACGCTGTCGCTGCCTTAAATGCTGGCGATAGTATCGTATCCCAGTTATCAATGCCACCAGAGCACACAAGGGCTTCGTTGGACCTCAACGCACAGTGGCGATACAGACCAAAATGGCCATACCCTGCGGCATCAATACTCCCCGTGTCTCCAATCCACTGTGGCTGAACAAACACCACAATGTTGATGATAACGAAGCACACAGTCAGGATGGCCCATAGCACACCAATAGCTCGATAATTTCGTACGTATTTGTTGTGATATTCATAAGTGCGAGATTCCCATGTTGTTGTTTCCTGATACATTTTTGAACAATTATCTTCTCAAGCTATCCACAAAACACTATTTTCACTCGTCTGTTGTAAAGTCCAAGCTCCTAATGACTGTTCAAAAGGTATCTTTAGAAAGAATCTTCTTCTTGTTGCCCGGTCACCTGTTGCTGTGGAAATCCCTTTTTTGTCTGAGCCAGTGCAGCAAGACAGGGTGCGCTATGGGCAAGCTTGAAAGGTATAATATATCATTTCATATTAAAACACAAGACGTATTTACGTGTTTCGGGGAGGGCTGGTGGGAAAATTTTCAACTTTGTTTACAATTTAGGGACCCTTTAATATACTAAGCCCTCATGAAACTATGAAGATTAACACAAAAGATAAACAAAAAATTATTAGATAAAAATGATTTTGCACTTTAATCCTTTACAAAAACGCAAATAGCAGGAACTGCCAATCACCCCCCTGAATAAAATGTCAACAATAAAACAGGTTTGGTGACCCACTTTTTCACAGGTGACAATTCCAAACCCTTAATGGTGACTAAGAAGGCATTAAGATGTAAAACATGCCCTGCATAAAATCTTAGTCTGAATCATGTATTTGACAAGATGTATGTTTCGCATGAACTAAAACAATATACCTGAACCTCTACTCAAAGTTTGAGACGAGTAATTTACCTACCTGTCAAGCAGACATTCTCTCCTAATTTTCTATGTAGCCGGGTGAGAAATGGGAAATTAACTTGAATAAATGAATAAATAAGTTTGCACTCTTAATAACATGTAATTATTACTTGTCTGAAGATATTTTAGTTTTTAAACGGAAAGGCAATTTGGTTTTACAACTTCGACAGCTCCATTTCCTGTCACTATTTTAGTGAACGCCACATTCACCAATTAGATCATTACTGGAGGTGCTTTTCATGGATGCACACGTGCGGCGGCTGCTTCGAATATGTGGCAAGTTTGCTCTCTTTCCCTTCAAGTTTTAGTCCTTAAGAATGCCCTTTATGGAAAGTTTGCTTTGATTACGTGTACTGTACTGTCTAACATATAATGCATGGAATGGAAAAATTATATGAAGAGGAATTTCGGAAGTGCTCGCTAACTTTTGACAATTTTGTCTTCTTGCCGCATTAAATATGGTACATACAAAATATTAGCAAAAATATTATTAATACATTCTAGTACAGTACTCAGTGTTTCAAATGCTACATGTTTTCTTTCAGCTAATTCTTTCAAGTGGTCTTTTTTATTTTAAGAACAAAACACCCCAATGAGGCCCGGCACAGCCTGTAAATAAAAATGGATGTTGCTACAGCCAAAGAGCAGCTGTATGAGCTGATACCTGGAAGAAAGGGGCAGATAGATTTACTGTTGTCATTGTGTAGTCCTCCTCATCCATATCCAGCTGTGTTTGTATATGGGGTGACAGCAACTGGGAAGTCGCTGGTGGTCAACCAGACAATGAAAATAATGAAAGTATGGACGGTCACGGATAATTGCTAGTATTTATACAGTTCAAACAATATTCAGTACAGTAGATTCAGTATAATGTGTCAACTTATAAATCAAATTATCATTTATTTCAAACAAATCCTTTGGTTCAGGTTTCATTCTTTGGCATCAGCTGGAACTTATGTGAAAGTAGCAAATGCAGGCATAAGAGTAGATAACATAGCTTTCATAATGTATTGCTTGTGTACAAATAATGACATTTGGACATATTTATATATGTTTTATTTTTACTATGTTAGCTGATAATTAATATCTTTTCTCCTCTAGCTCCCTCATGTACTAGTGAATTGTGTGGAATGTTACTCAGCCAAACTTTTATACGAGGAGATCCTGAATGCTCTCTTAGGGGACGGCCCTTGTCCAGCCAATGACTTCAGCGTGACCCACAGGTGTGACAACATGAATGACTTTGTCAGGGCACTGACCCATGGGCTACAGGAAACGCTGGTGGATGATCCATTTTACATTGTAAATAACAAGTTTCTTGTCAGTTATCAAAGGTAGTATTTTTGAAAGCTGACGGCTCTGGATAGTGAGATTACAAATACAAAATTATGTAAAATAAGCTATGTAAAATGTTGCCAGTAATTTTACTGTTTTCAGTAATCATGTTTATTTTTGGTTGTATTTGGAAGTATTGTGAATTTCACATTTTAAAAACAATGTCATATAAAAAAGCTAATTGATCACAAGCTACATATCAACAAGTGTATGAAGAATATTATGTTTTCAGGCTGATATTAATTAATTAATTGGGGGACAATAAGAATGACACTTTTCAATGAGAATTCCCCATAGAAAGTAAATTGATAAAAGATTATACTGTCAGTAAGTGTGTGGAAAAATGGTATTTTTTCAGGTATTAGACAAGGCTGAAAGGCTCAGAGATATGGAAGGTAATGTCCTGCCAGCATTGTTGAAGCTTCAGGAGTTGGTAAGTTAGGTTATATATGAAGAGGATGTAAAGGTGTGTGTGTGTGTGTGTGTGTGTGTGTGTGTGTGTGTGTGTGTGTGTGTGTGCTCCCATTTTGTTCCCTGTTTAGTGTGTGACATTGGTGTATAATATTGTCATTTACTTGAGACATTTTGGGAAACCTTACCCATATCTGCATCATAGTTCAGATCATTTTGTGTGTGTGTTTGTGTATGTGTGTGTGCACATGTGTGGTATATAAAATGATCAAAGAGAAACTAATATATTACAGTGAATTTTTATCTATGAAAGGTTAATTTTTAAACATAATGTAATTTTCTAAAATCTAATGGTATTCCAACAGAATTTCAGGTTATGTGATCGAGTCATGTAACCGAGGAAGTGTTTTTAAGTAATTTATCTTATCAAAATTTGCTTTCTGCTCTTGCTTATTCTTTAATATTATGTTATAATTTCTTTTTCAGACAAAGTGCAAAGTTAGTGTGATCTTGATCACAGAAATAGTGTGGGAGAAATTCTGGGGAGGAACAGGAATGGTAGACCCCTTTCCTATCTACTTTCAGGACTACACAAAAGGTATGAAATTTCAAATATAATAGTACTCTTAAAGTAGATAATTTTTTGTCAAGATTGAATGACATAGTTGCATTTTTCAAAGTCCCGTTACTTCATGTTACCATGTTACAGTAATTATAACTACCAAAATGATATTTTACAATTGGAGAATTTTTAATTTTATGAAACAGATAACTTAAAGATAATTATTGTTAACCTTTACCTTTCTTGCACAATCCAATCATTACTTTGGTCAATTTTCCCCCTTGTAGAGGAACTCCTGGAGATCATGGCTCTGGACAGTCCTGAGGACTACCCTGTCACTTTCTACAAGTCCTACATCACCCTGGTCCTTAGTGTGTTCTACCTGGCCTGTAGAAATCTGGCTGAACTCAGGCACCTGGTAAGTATGGTCGGCTTTCCTTGTTATATTTTTCCATTATGAAAGAGGTTGTTTTCTTCTGCATTGGTTGGTTAGTTGGTTGGTTGGTTGGTTGGTTGGTTGGTTTGTGTCTCTGTTTGTTTGTGGACAAGATATCTCAGTCAGTTCCTCGCAAATTCAGGTGAAGGTTTTTTTTTTGCATTTTTTTAAGGCAAAACATAAATAATAGCTGAATTTGGGGACCCCTTATTGATTAAATGGATTTTTTTATTGACTTTTTCCCTCTTTTTTTTCAGATTAAGTGATGTTATTGCATTAAGTGGTTGGTTTATATTTTCTTTTCTGAGTTGCTGTTCACATTTTTCATAAATCAAGATCAAGAGTATATACAGTTTATATACTCTATTTTATAAAATTAATTTGAAGTTAACTACCTGTATTAAGCTATTGTAAAATGCATAGATATCATCATCATCATCTTCACTATAATAATTATTATTATTATTATTATTATTTTTTTTTTTTTTTTCAGGCACAGTTAAACTTCCCTTTATATGTGGAACCCATCAAGTCAGGGGATGGTTAGTAATTTAAAAAATAGAGGTTCTGATTTTGATCAAAAAATCTTTGCTTTTTTTTTTAAATCTTGAATATGTGTTTTTTTTCACTAATTATTAAAGTAAGCAAAATTTGAACATGTTTTGTTTGGTCTTTTGGTATCTTTGTTATTTTTAAAGAATGCAAGGTCTATTTGAATATTATAAAAAAAATCAGATATTAAATTAAAAAAATATTAATTTAAAGATAAGTCTAATATGAATCAAACTTTTGAAAAATTAATAATTTAACTTACAGTCAAATTATAGAACTGGCTCTTAAGGAAATAAATCTGTTTTCAGCCACAATGTCTGAATCCAGGAAACTCTGGAAGCACATTGAGCCATTCTTAAAGAAAGCTCTGCAAACAGTCTATCTCAGGGAGGTCTCTAGGTAATATTTCCTGGCTTTAACTATTTAATAATATATATGCCTTTGGGTTAGAGTCTAAATGTTCCTGTACTTCAAAGGGAACAGATACTGTATTTTGACATAATATATATTAAATGATATGCCTGACATCCTGAACAATTCTCATGTTGATGATGATGATGATGATGACACATTGACATTGGCTATAGTAGTAGGGGCTTCATAAATTGTAGTCTTTCTTCAGGATAGTCTACAATTTAAGTTGTGTGTGTGTGTGTGTGTGTGTGTGTGTGTGTGTGTGTGTGTGTGTGTGTGTGTGTGTGTGTGTGTGTGTGTGTGCGTGCGTGCGTGCGTGCGTGCGTGCGTGCGTGCGTGCGTGCGTGCGTGCGTGGTAATTGATTCAAAGAGATGCAAGTTGTCTTGGCTATATAAGCATAAGTTATCTAAATTAGGACATTTATTATACAATGATAGATGCCTTTTTTACACAGTTTGAAGAAAGACTGGATGTCCTACCTCCATAAATTTGTCTTTGGCAAGAAATGAGTGACCTAAATTGTGTTTGTTCTAGCAAGCAGTGGGAGTCCATGCAGCAGAAGTTGATGGAGGATGAGGAGGGGGAGAAGGGTATGGGTGCTGCTGCAGGTGGTCCTGTCCCCCTTCATGTGGCCAGGTCTAATGTGGAGCTGCCATTTTACTCCAAGTATCTCCTGGTGGCTGCCTACCTTGCCTCCTACAACCCTGCCAAGTCTGACAGAAGGTTCTTTACTAAGGTTTGGATGCCCAATTAATTAATTAATTAATTTATGTATTTATTAATTTATTGATTTATTGATTTATTGATTTATTTTGTTTTGTTTTGTTTATTTTAGTTGAGAGAAACATTGGGGAATCTTTCTGATTTACATGATTGGTCATATAGTTATGTAGAAAAATGAAGTTTTTAGTTGACAATATTTTGGCCCTTATTGTCAGGAAGAATCCCATTGAAAAAGACAGTTTTGGAACAGAAAGATTAACTCATATATTTGATTTCATGAATGATGGACAATCCTTTATTATATGTCACAGTGGTTTAATGCATTCACAGTTTAGAAAGTTAGTTCACAAATCTGTAAAAAAAAAAAAAAGAAAGATTAATCTTCTTTGTCACATTTCAGAACTGCGGAAAACAAAGGAAGTCTAACAGAGCAGTCAAGAAACATGAAAGGGTGAGTTGAATGTATGGAAAATATTTTCCTGGATGGCATTTCTCTACTTTTGTTGCATATAATAGAATTTAGACAGTTTTGTGATTTTGAATGATTTCTCCCCAATAATAATATAAATATATATAATATAGTGCTTTATTATTTTAAAATCATCATAATGAAATTTTTCATGTCAAGAATAAATTCTTTCCTGCAGACCAGTAATCAGCTCTAAGTTTATTTATATGAACTATTGAAAATGTGAGGGAAGCTCAAAGGGGAGGCACATTAAGCTTTTTATGTTTCCATCCATAATATTTTTTAAAATATTCTTTTATTTTGACAGCGTTGTAATAAAAAAATTATATTTTGCAACTCACAAGTGAAAATGATATACACATCTTCCCTTTCAGACAAGTAACCAGCTCTTGGGGCCAAAGCCATTTCCATTGGATCGGCTGATGGCTATCTTTCACTCAATTATAGAGGGCAGAGTAGTTCCTACCGCCAACATATTCTCTCAGGTAGGAGGTGTCAAACCCTTGTTTATGATAGAATGCCAACACATTAATACTTACCTCTTTATTAGAGTCAGTATTTTCCTTCCGTGAAAAATTGTATCATAATTATTTCATTGCAGTCTTGAAACCTTTTCAGAAATAGTCAACATATAATAAATAAGCAAAAATAATAAGTGTTATAGTTTGGAAACATTGTCATCTAAGGTCATTGTCTCATTGTAAATTTGAAACATTGTGACGTCATCAAAGGTCACTGTATCATGAGGCAACATTGTTTTCGGTCTTTATGTCTAAAAAAAGAAAAAAAAATGTAAAAGTCCATGCTGTTGTTTTGTTCTAGGTGACGTCACTGGTGACATTACAGCTCCTGGCCCAGGTGGGCAGCAGTGACCAGCTAGAGGGACCCAAGTATAAGTGTCTGGTGTCTCTGGACTTCATTAAACAAGTGGCGAGGTGGGTACTTTACACGGGGTCTTCACATTTTCATTTTCATGTCCCTTGTCTGAATGTCATCTTATTGCTACAATTTAGTAAAAATGTAGGATATAGTATCTGTTCAACTTTTGATCCTTTTTCATTCTATATGATCTAGACATGCAAAGGTTATGATATTTTTTTTTGTAGAAAGAAAAAGATGTTTGCATTGTGACACTTGATAAACTGTTAAAATCAATGTGTCTTAATGAAATATTTCTTAATGTTTTTTGCACTTTTACGAATTGATAAAAACATTTTTCATAGTTGATTCAGAACTTACAGTGAAATTCTTACAGGTTTTTGAGATACACTCCTTCATGTGTGGTCTTTTTGTAATTTTCAATGGTGATCTTAAAAGTATGTTTTCTAGGCATAAAAACAAATATTTAAGGACTTTTGTTTCTTATTTTCCAGGACTGTTCAGTTTGATATAGTACAGTACTTGTATGATTTTGTATGAAACTACATAATTGTGATTGGAGAAACTTGGGAAATCAACAGGAAAACAAGTAACCATCAGCAGGGAAGATCCCCTGACCTATCAGATAGGAATGTACTGTTCTCATATGTAGGGATGCATCAGCAAGTATTGTCTTGTTTTATACCTACTGAAGAGGAGATTTTCAATATTAAATATTGATATTTTTCTATTGAGCTTTTGTATGTCTAACGGGAAGATATAACTATTGGATAGAGAGGCAGAAGCAAGTATATTGTCTTGTTTTAGAAAGACTAAACACATAGATGCCAGTATTAATTCTGCTCTGGTGAATGTTTTTCTGCTAGCGTGTCATTGTCAGACAAGAGAGGACTATTATGGCCTATGGGATATGTTAAGAGAGGCAGCAAGTAATTGCATCTTTTTACTACTGGTTTATTCCAAATCTCTTGTGCATATGTACAATACTTATGTGATCAATCACAAGATAAAAAACTCTACAGTAATGACCAAACTTAAATGTGAATTTGTCTCTGTTAAGCCCATCACTGTCAAACAAGATCTTCCATAGATACTGTTATGGGATGGAGAGGCAGCAGCAAGTATTACCAACCTTAAATGGTACTATTTTGCAATAATTGTGGGGATTTAAAGTTTAACATAAAATCAGTTGCTACTTGTACCAATGGTTATAAAATGTGGCATGCAACATGTGCAAGGGAGTGAAGAGGGTAACTTTGTGATTGGGCTGACTGCCATCCTCATCTGGAAATAAAGTAAATTTAACATTGAAACATATGTGTTTCAAAAAAGGTTTGGCCATCATTGGAAGATTAAAAAAATTAACAATGTTTGGCCTTGAAAGCGGCTGTGAAAAATGTTGCATTATTGATTTTCACACATTGCAGTGGTTGAGATACATAGGATTGTGTTGGTAGGAGGCACAACTCCTAACTTAACATTCTCATTTCAGTAAGCCTGGAAGCAATTTTTTTCAATCACTGATAACATAAATTTTGTAATATGACTTACTGCCCCATGAGTAAAATGTTAAAACTTTATTTAAAAAAAAATTAATGTCAAAATCATTAACTACTGAGTAAGGTGAAATGACAATGGCTGGATGTGCTTTATTTTTATAAGAAAATATTAAAATTTTGATCTTGAAAACATTGGGATTCGGGTGTTTTGAATGATTGAGTTGTGAGTTCAGTTGCGTGTTTTTGTGAGTAATGTGCTGGCTATTGTAAATACTGACATTAGCATAACATACATCAAATATATACACAGACATGAAAATGATCTGAATTTTAGATATATGCAGACACACATGCACACATATGAAAGTAATTTGAACTTTGGGATGATTTTCCTTATCGGTTGCTGAGAAATGGGGCAAACAGCTGTAAAGTTACATCTCTTTGTGCCATGTTACACTGATAAGAAGTGAACTCACAGCAGGGTTCTGCTATCAGAAACTGTGTAATAAAGTCTTTATTTTCTTGTATCAAGTTTTTTTTCTTTTTTTCTTACCATGAAGCTTGTATACATGTTGCTTCCTGAAATGTGTGATTTACTGTGTATTCACCAGGGCCAGAGTGGCATTTGAAGAATAGATGTAATTAATCAGTGTCCAAAATAACTTAAACTATGTTTTAGGGTGTAATCAGTATACCCCTCCCACCTGGTAACAGTCATGAGCCACTGGCAAGTCCAGTTGGTAAACAATACTAGAGAAAGTTGTCTTAAAGCTGTCGTACAAGAGAGGAAAACACTGTCACTGTTTATGGGTAGAACACAGAAATGCCTTTAAGGTGGTTTAAACATTGTGTTGTTTGTGATTTAGTGCAATGCTTATAAACTTTACTCTCTGGTTTATTTTCCGGTACTGATAGTGACATTTTCAATCTGTCTATCTTGAGTGGCTCCACTTCACTATTTATCGCCGAAATTTTGATTTTTGAGATCCTTCCAAGTGAAGTGAAGAGATGCCTATTAAAAGCACTGAAATGAAGTAGAAAGGTCGCCTTGATAGATAAATTTGTCTCTGTGTGATCATTTTGATAATTTCACATTATTGAATGTGGCATTCTTCTAAAAGATTGGGCCCCAGCATTTTTATCATCATTAAATCATGATTAGAAATCCATATTTTTTGGCCATATATTAGAAGTACATAACTGTGAACTGTATTATGAGATTTGAAATTACTTATCGTAGAAGAGTCCCATATTGCTGTGTTTGGAAGAAACAGGCTTGAAATTTCACACTGAAGTCCTTGCTATTTGGAATTTGGTGTCTAAGGGGAAAAAAAGCATTATGAAAAAGGAATCATAAAAGGAAATGGGACCCAAGTTTCCTGCAGCATACGCTCCAGCAGTGAGGGGAAAGAGAAGGAAACTTTTTTTTTATCTGAGGAACGTGAAAGCTTGAAAAAGTAAGTGTCAGATAAGAAGTTATTTTTTTTATACTTTTCAAAGTAGCAATAAGAATCTGTCAGTTAATAGAGGAAATGTCATTGATTTAGTTTTAGAAGCAGGGATATGAAGTTATTTGGCACTTTCCAAAATGTGACAAGATGATGTGAATTTTTTTGTTTTTATTTGCCAACTGTTTTTTTTTCTTTTGGTAAAAGTCATATAGTTTGTCCTGAACCCAGATTTACAACTGCAATTACTTTTATTGAAGTGGAAACCACAGTAGTAGATGACACCTAGATTGTTTGTTGACAAAATACCACTGGTATGTTTTCAAAACCTGAAACTACAGAAGCTGAAAGATGCCTCTTGCAACTAAAATATTATTCCTCCCCAAACTCTGCAATGTTTTAAAACAATTAGATATGTTTATTTATTCATCTAGGAAACTATTCCCCATTGTTCAGGTCTTTTAAGTGCTGATTTTTAAAAGAGACTGTTTGGCTGACTTACAACTGATGTGTGCTGAAATTAAGTTTCCTGAGTTTTATGTCACAAAAACAGGGACAAGCATTTGACGTTGTTAATGGTTCATTCCAGGCGTAAAATCAGGCACGATGTCACATGTACAAGTGCTCACATTGCTGCTACTGACTCTTCAGTCGTGCGATTCTCAGGGGAGGCTGCCATTTCTCTCTCCGTTCTTCTTCCTATGTAACTATCATCGTCAACAGGAAGCGGTAGGACCTGAGCAAGGAGAGGTTGCCATAAGTGTTTCCATCGAAGGCAACCCACAGTTTTATACACCAGGGCAGTTGTATGGAGGTGAGATCTGGCTCTCCTGGCTCATTTTGCATGAGTGTTAACATTTTCAACAAATGTTCCTGATAAATTGCTTAGTGTTAGGAAATAACTGTGGTCTCACTTATCACAGATTAAGTGAAATGAAATATTTTGCTGAAACAAAAGTTACACTGGAGGAACTCCAGCTTAATAATCAGATCTTGATTTATTAAGTATTAATTGTGTCAATTTTCATCTGTAGACTTTATAGTGCTTTGTAACTATGGGTTGCAAAAGATATACTGTTTTGCTTGTTATAAAAAGACAGTATTTAAATATGTAATTGTAATTTGTAATTGATAATTGTTGACTGTAAAGAACTGAAAGCACTTTAAAGTACAATATGGATTACATATGACAAATATATTGTATTGTTTGTTATAGAAGAACTAAAATATTTGCTAGTTCTTAAAGCTTACTACATGAATCTTGACTAAGAAATTTGTTTTAGGCCACCAATTTAGTGGCAAATTTGAACTTTAAAGGTTAGGATATAATGAAACTTAAGGACAATGTCTTTCTATTTTGGATAGGAAAGGCCCTTAAACAAAAATTATGACTCCCTACTAGACAGCTCAAGTCGGTGCAATTTGTTTTTTTCCCCAGTGGAGACTTGCTAATTACAAGTTTGTATTTTCCTCCTCAATGAAGTTTACTGTTAACACAAACAATTACCATTATTATTTATTTATTTCTAGTGTATATCAGATCTAGCTCTGACTTCGATGGCTTTCTCCTCACTGGATTATACACGACAGCGTCCGCTGGACAGGTGTCGCCACTGACTTCTCCTATGGCGGCCATTAGTGGAAGTGGGGGGCCTCACCAAGGGGTGAACTACATGTGCTCTATGATACATTCGCATCTCAGTCGCATGCCTCAGCAAAATTTGTCATTCATGTGGATGGCCCCACCCAAAGGAACGGGCTGTGTCAGCTTTTTGTGAGTTCTTGATTTTCAGTAAAATATATATATATATAAGATGGATGCCAGTAGTAAAACAAGGATTTTTTTCTAAAGTTTGCATAATATCTTCACAGATTAATGTTGAGAGATATTTTACAGTGTCTGTCATTTTTAACTTCTGAATCATAAATAGAATGAAGTTTTCCCTTTCCTGTCAATGTATTATAACTATTATAAGAACATTGCTTTTCCTCACAGAAGTAAACTGCTCACAAGACATCCTCTCCAGGATCCATGAAAGAATTAACTTTAATGGTGAATAATACTCAGTATTTTACTAATATATTTAAATGTCATGTTATTGAGCACTCTTCTTTTACAAAACATTTTTTGGAGTTAATCATCTAACAAACGTGTACTAATTAAACATAGCTATTCAGAATTTTGGAATTGTATAATTAAAGAAAATACTGTCAGAACATTTTAGGGAAGAAATTTTGTTCCAATAAAAAGTGAGAAATTACCTTCAAGTACCAATCTGTAACATGGAGTAGCATTTTAAAAAATCCCTAATTGACATTCCCCAAAAAGGGTGTCATAAACAATTTTTGGGAAGTACACAGAATATGTCAATCTTTGACCCCTACAAAACAAATCTGCCATCTGCTGCAATGAGAGATGGCTCTTAGGTTACTAAAGATTGTCTTAATGGGGTTCTTGACATGAAATGGCACAGTATCTTGAAATGCTGTTTATTTCTTTCAAATTGTTAGCACAATTTGTGACACGATTTGGGGATCCAAGCTCTTGATGATTATTTACCTCCACTGAAAGATATCCAGTTGCTTTATTTGCTCTTAGATTTAAATCGAGGGCTAAGTGCCTGGCAAAGTGATAGAAAAAGAGCTGAAAAATAACCAACTTGGAGCACAACTGTTACTGTAAATGATACCTTCTTTTAGTGTAATAAATCACATGCTGTTTCTTTTTTGCTCAATTTGAATTCAAACTACCATTTCTAATGATGATTCGTGTGTGGAAGGATGTGCTGTGTCATTTGGTCCCGGAACCTTTGTTCAGTGATGGATCTTTCCAGAAAATTGTTAGAAATCCATTTAATTGAACAGATATTTGAATGGGCTGATTTGGCATAAGAAAAATATATTTTAAGTGAAAAATAACTTCTGATTTTATTCATGGATAGATGTGTTTGATCCTTGTTTTATTGCAAACATATTGTAGCTAATAAAAAAAGGTATAGGGAGTGAATTATTGATGCAAAAAATTGACTTTTTAATGGAATCAACATGTAACCAATATTTCCCAAAGCCAAGTTTAGTTATTTTACTTATCAAAGTGCTGTATCCAGAAATGTGATCTAGAGTCATTTTGAACATTGTGTAATCCTAACAAATTCAGAACTATAGCTATATGCAAAACATCATATCCCATAGCAGAATGGAAAATTTGCAGCAAATATTGCAGCAATATTTAGTTTGTGGCAACAAGTTTGCAGGAGTTTGAAAGAAAAAATTTATTGCTGCTAATTTTCATGAAAGAGTTGTAGTTTGCAGCAATATTGCAGCAGGCCTGATAATTTGCTAAGAGATAAGACACTGGAGATCCATGGTCTTTTATGTTTTTCCTTGTTCTTTTTGCATCTAATTAGGTGCTTCAAAAATTGTATACATTGTGTATTTAAACTTGGGGAAATATGTCAGTGAAATGTAAAAAAAAAATAAATAAAAATACATGAAAAAGATTCTCCCCTTTACCATTAAAATTTAGGCCCAGGTTCCTATAATTGAAATTAAAATTCCTGTAATTTCAGGGCCACTGCCTCACTAGGCCAGCAAGTGCTATTTAAGGACATCACAGCCTTTCAACTGTGTGAGAGAGGAGGTAAGAAAATCTGAGCAGGCTGTGAGATTTTGTTTATTTTCAGAACTGTAAAGCTATATTTACAAACCTTAAAAATGTGTTTTCACACATGTTTAGCTATAATTTTTACTTGTTGGCTTGCCAGTGATTTATTCACAGATTTACATGATTGGTGTATTAATTTGACTGTTGAGTTTCTGTTTTTATTTGTGTATTCTTTTGTTCTTTTATTCATCCATTTAGTCTAAATCATGATCAGTACATCCATTAATTCTCTAATTTATGCATTAATTCTTTTATTTATAATCTTAGTATTTTGTATCTATTAATCATTGACAATTATAAACAATCAAATCACTTGTTCCACCTCATTCATTGGTTCATCAGTTCATCGCTTGGTTAATTCATTGATAATTTTCCTCAATCCCAGCCAGGTTTGGTACTTACTCTGATAGGGGTATGTTGGAAGGAATGAATTCCAGAACAGAGTTTTTTTTTGTGTGTTGTTTTGACATGTGGTTATTTCCTCACACTTAAAGTTAGAACTGACATGAGATAGGGAGTGAGGAGAAAACTGAAAGCATATCAATTGCAGTAAGAGCCAGAGGTGCATGCCCTGGTGCTTGGATTTTCAGTTTTTAGTTTGAATCATCTAGTTTATGAACAATATTTACAGTACTTGTCAGGAGATTTATTCACAAGATATACAAAATTATATGATCATTCTTACTGAAATATAAAATACAGTTACTGTACAGAATTTCATTAATTTTATTTGGAGTTTACAAAGTCTAACCTTGTTATTTATAATTTAAAACCAACCTTCAGAGTTTACAAAGTGTAACCTTGTTCTTTATAATTTAAAACCAACCTTCATAGATGAATTAAATCAGTCATGAATTTTTGTAATGTTTTGAAAATTTGATCAAGAGTTTATAAGAAGTGGGAGACTCATGCTGACATGCACTTTTTTTCCAATTCTAAATATCATATTTAGGAGACACCATTTTGTTTTTCAAAATGGATGGATTGAGAGACCCAAGGAATTGCCAATAAAAAAATTAATTCTTGTCCCCAGCTGTAGTATCTGTATGTCATAATGCAACCAACTTTTCTATGTTTATCTATGGGGAGAGCTGTGGCAATTTGATGGGATTATTATTTATTATTATTATTATTATTATTTCAGTTTTAAAAATTTTGTCTGGTAGTTGTCTTTTATCTAAAGTAAATACAAAAAAAAAAAAAAAAAAAAAGAAAGAAAGAAAAAAGAAAAAAAGCAACAGCTGGTAATATGCAGGTATAATTCAGAATATAGTTGATAATGTGAAAATCCCACAAATGATCTTTGTCTTTGCCTTTCCCCGTTTGATTGCATTTCTTGGTTAGAACCATCTTTAAATTGATTTTGCCTGATGTTAACACAACACCTATTATTATTGCCTCATTTTTGGGTTCATGCATTCTCTCTCTCCTTTTATTTCAGATGTCCAGTCAAAGCCCCCTCGTCCAAAACTAACCACTGTCCACTCTGACGGTATGGTTTTGAGAGAAGATTTTGAAAGTGGACAAGAGTTTGATAGCGTAGTGTGGTAGGTGGTATTTATGCTGGACACCTTTTTACGTGAGTATAAATGTAATGCTTGAAAATAATAAATGAATGAGATGTCAATTGATACAAAAAATGGATTGTTTTATTGTGTAGTGATTTATGGAACAACTGAAAATATGTAGATTAAAAAAAAAGAAATATAGATTTTACAGTATGTTTTACCAGGTCTTCAACAATTGGAGGAGAGCTCAGTGACAAATGTGGGATCGTGATGTACGGAAATTCGGCCGTCTTCTGCCACACAGATGGAGACAGGGTCATGGTCACTAATCCATTGAATACCACCACTGCAGTCGCTCTTCAGTTTGCTTTGAGTAAGTGATTGTCAGTTCAATTTTGGATATGGGGGATATGGCTGCCTGGGGACCCTGAAGCATTCCCACCCTTCAAAACATAATGACAGTTATAGTGTGTTTCCTTTACTTTAAGGGGTGGGCAGAAAGAATGGTCTGAAGGCACATAGCAGTAATACAGCAAAGACACAAAATTGCACAACTGATAGAGGATTCGAAGCCATTTTATTTTTCTTATTTTTTAATGTTTAGCACCAGGAAGTTGTCGGCCATCAGTTGAAGATGAACCAATCAATATCTACTACGCCAGCAATGACAATTGCTCTGATTGGACAAAAATTGACAAGATAAGGTATGAGTAACTCTTTGAAGAAAATTCCTGAGCTCAGGGTTCACTTGGGAATATTGCTTGATATTTTTTTCCTGCAAATGAAAATTTACTATTTTTCCGTTTGTTGTACCTCCTGTATTTAGCTTATGATCTCTGCCCTGAAATAAGGGCATCTTCAATAACAGTCACCTTAAACATGAAAATTCTCAGACACAAGCCTAAAATTTTCCGTACCGTTAGCTTACGGCCAACCTGGTTGAAGGCCTTCATCAGACTGACGTGAGTAGTTGTTCACACTCACTGACCGCTAGGTGGTATAGCGGCCAGGACCCTCGTGTCAATGTCAGGTAGAACAACCCCCCGTCCCTTTCATGGGTGGCTGGTATCAGCTGATGTTGATAGCCTCTCGTATTTTTTCACGGGATGTCGGATGATGCAGATTGGCCAGGTTGGCCGTAAGCTAACGGTACGNATGGTCATTATGCTGTTTACCATTATGTAATATTGCATCAGAATAGAAGAAAACACAATTTTGGGTGCTGCTGCCATGATGACCATTATGGGAAAACCATGTTACTGATGATTGCCAAACTTTCAAAAAAGAAATACAGGACTAAAAATGCAGCCTAAGTTGGAAAAACAGTCTAATTGGCTTCTTTTTCTGGAAGTTATACATTTTCAAAGTGCGAACTTGAACTCCCATGGACCTGAAGCCTTATGCTTGTTACACATTTTACTTACATTGGTATTACCTGTTGAGCATAATTAAAATTTGATGTTGAATTTGCAGTTTAACATAATGTACTTTTGCATCAGAATTGACAGTAGCCTATTTTGTGCATAGTTATTTCCTGCTTTTTGTCTGTACATTTGACAGCTTTGCTGCCTTGTTCCTTGTTCTTTTTCCATCTAATTAGGTGCTTCAAAAATTGTATACATTGTGTATCTAAACGTAGGGAAACATGTCAGTAAAAAAAAAAAAAAAAAAAAAAAAAAGTTCTCCCCTTTACCATTAAAATTGAGGCTCAGGTTCCTATAGTTGAAATTAAATTTCCTGTAATTTCAGGGCCACTGCCTCACTAGGCCAGCAAGTGCTATTTAAGGACATCACAGCCTTTCAACTGTGTGAGAGAGGAGGTAAGAAAATCTGAGCAGGCTGTGAGATTTTGTTTATTTTCAGAACTGTAAAGCTATATTTACAAACCTTAAAAATGTGTTTTCACACATGTTTAGCTATAATTTTTACTTGTTGGCTTGCCAGTGATTTATTCACAGATTTACATGATTGGTGTATTAATTTGACTGTTGAGTGTCTGTTTTTATTTGTGTATTCTTTTGTTCTTTTATTCATCCATTCAGCCTTAATTGTAATCTGTACATCCATAAATTCTCTCATTTATCCATCAATTCCTTTACTTGTAGTCTTAGTATTATGTATTAATTGATCATTGACAATTATAAACAATTAAATCACTTGTTCCACCTCATTCATTGGTTCATCAGTTGGTTAATTCATTGATAATTTTCCTCAATCCCAGCCAGGTTTGGTACTTACCAGGGGCGTAACCAGACCTTTTAAAATTGTATGCACTGATTTTGAAAATTCCCAGGTACGATTATATTCAGTGAAAAATACACTGAATTTATGGAGAATAATATCATGGTTGGCTCAAAAAATTGTACGCACAGTGCATCCGTGCGTATGCCTGGTTACGCCCCTGCTTACTCTGATAGGGGTATGTTGGAAGGAATGAATTCCAGAACAGAGTTTTTTTTTTGTGTGTGTTGTTTTGACATGTGGTTATTTCCTCACACTTAAAGTTAGAACTGACATGAGATAAGGAAAGAGGGGAAAACTGAAAGCATATCGATTGCAGTAAGAGCCAGAGGTGCATGCCCTGGTGCTTGGATTTTCAATTTTGAGTTTGAATCATCTAGTTTTTGAACAATATTTACGGTACTTGTCAGAAGATTTATTCACAAGATATGCATAATTATATGATCATTCTTATTGAAGTATAAAATACAGTTACTTTACAGATTTTCATAAATTTTATTTGGAGTTTACAAAGTCTAACCTTGTTATTTATAATTTAAAACCAACCTTCATAGATGAATCAAATCAGTCATGAATTTTTGTAATGGTTTTAAAGGTTGATCAAGAGTTTATAAGAAGTGGGAGACTCATGCTGACATGCTCTTTTTTTCCAATTCTAAATATCTTATTTAGGAGACACCATTTTGTTTTTCAAAATGGATGGATTGAGAGACCCAAGGAATTGCCAATAAAAAAATGAATTCTTGTCCCCAGCTGTAGTATCTGTATGGCATAATGCAACCAACTTTTCTAAGTTTATCTATGGGGAGAGCTGTGACAATTTGATGGGATTATTCTTTTTTATTATTATTATTTCAGTTTAAAAAATTTTGTCTGGTAGTAGTCTTTTATCTAAAGTAAATACAAAAAAAAAAAAAAAAAGAAAAAAAAAGAAAGAAAGAAAAAAGAAAAAAAGCAACAGCTGGTAATATGCATGTATAATTCAGAATATAGTTGCTAATGTGAAAATCCCACAAATGATCTTTGTCTTTACCTTTCCTGTTTGATTGCATTTGATCTTAGTTACAACCATCTTTATATATTGATTTTGCCCGATGTAAACACAACACCTATTAATATGGCCTCATTTCTGTGTTCATGCATTGGGTCTCTCCTTTAATTTCAGATGTCCAATCAAAGCCCCCTCGTCCAAAACTAACCACCATCCACTCTGATGGTATGGTTTTGAGAGAAGATTTTGAAAGTGGACAAGAGTTTGATAGCGTAGTGTGGTAGGTGGTAAAAGCTGGACACCTTTTTACTTGAGTATAAGTGTGTAATGCTAGAAAGTGATGAATGAATAAGATGTTGAAGCAATAAATCTTAAAATTTTGGATTGTTTTATTGTGTAGTGATTTATGGAACAACTGAATATATGTAGATAAAAAAAAGAAATATAGCTTTTAATATATGTTTTACCAGGTCTTCAACAATTGGAGGAGAGCTCAGTGACAAATGTGGGATCGTGATGTACAGGAATTCAGCTGTCTTCTGCCACACAGATGGAGACAGGGTCATGGTCACTAATCCACTGAACACCACCACCGCAGTAGCTCTTCAGTTTGCTTTGAGTAAGTGATTGTCAGTTCATTTTTAGATATGGGAGAGAGGGCTGCCTGGGGACCCTGAACCATGCCCACACTTAAAAACAAAATGGCAGTTACAGCATATGTCCTTTAGCACATTGTGGTAATACAGCGAAGACCTTAAATTGCACAAGTGATAGAGGATTCAAAGCAACTTTATTTTTCTTATTTTTTTATGTTTAGCACCAGGAAGTTGTCGGCCATCAGTTGAAGATGAACCAATCAATATCTATTTCGCTAGCAATGACAACTGCTCTGATTGGACAAAAATTGACAAGATAAGGTATGAGTAGCTCTTCAAAAAAAAATTACATGAGCTCAGGGTTCTCTTGGATATATTGCTTGATTTTTTTTTCCCGAAAATGAAAATTTACTATTTTTTCGTTTGTTGTACCTCCTGTATTTAGCTTATGTTCTCTGTCCTGAGTTAAGGGCATCTTCAATAACAGCCACCTTAAACATGAAAATTCTCAGACACAAGCCTAAAATTTTCCGTACCGTTAGCTTACGGTCAACCTGGTCGAAGGCCTTCATCAGACTGACGTGAGTAGTTGTTCACACTCACTGACTGCTAGGTGGTATAGCGGCCAGGACCCTCTTGTAAATGTCGGGTAGATCAACCCCCCCGTCCCTTTCATGGGTGGCTGGTATCGGCTGATGTTGATAGCCTCTCGTATTTTTCGCAGGATGTCGGATGATTCAGATTGGCCAGGTTGGCCGTAAGCTAACGGTACGGAAAATTTTAGGCTTGTGTCTGAGAATTTTCATGTTTATCCAACAACCAAGCTAATGAACATTTTTGCTCAACAGTCACCTTGTTTATCAGTGGAGTTGGCAAGATAACTACCTTATGTTTTATGTGAAAAGAACCTTTGTATGTTGATTTTTTTTTTGAGTGGCAAAAACATTGCTCTGATACAAGAAAAAAAAAAAGAGTCAAAAGGTGTGATATGATAAGTATGTATGTTCATTACAAAAGGTTACCAATTTAAGTAATAATCTTAAAAGAATAATAGTTAAAGTGGCATTAGTGAGATATTTGGTATTTAAGAGTAATTTCCAAGAAATGATGAGATTTGAGGCAGCTTTTTTGTTCAAAAAGTGTAAAATTTCCTTCAAATAATTGCAAAGTTTGTCTTGCAGAGCACCAGATCTCCCGTACACTGTGACCCATATCATACACCTTCCCACAAGTGCTCAAAAACATGGCGTCTGCTTCAAATGGCAGCAGGCGAGGTCTGAGTTCACAGACAGTTTTGGTGGCTGCTGGGCAATGGATAATGTTTTGATCAGCAACACAGCTCTCACCCCCACCTTGCTGCAGGAAGACTTTGATCCTATAGATCCCAGTTTGTGGTTGTTTTTCCCAGGGTCTATGATTAAAGTGAGTTTAAGTAAAAATTAGGAAAAGGTGAAAACTATAAAATGGATTTATAAATCAAAATTTTGTCAAGAGTGTTGGATATAGTATACTTTGGAGGCCAAGAAAAAGGTGTAGTTGCAATCTTCAGGATAATCCTGCATCTTTTTTTTTTTTTTTTTTTTTTTTTGACAAGTTCAGCAAGTCAAATGAATCATATTTCTTCCAGATGGGGTGTAAGTCAGATGGCAGTGCCATGATATTTGGTAATGAGGCTGGAGAGAACATGGCCACAACACGAGACATGGACCTGTCTGCTGCAGCTATCTCAGACATTATCCTGGAGCAGACATTTGAGGATAGTTATCTGACAGGGTGGGTGGGTGTTTGTGTGGTACAGCATATGTTCCTTTAAGTATTTGATTAAAGACTTTAACTAACTAGAGAGAAGTCTAAGAGAGCAGACCTTGGCTATGGAAAAAAGCAACGTGAAATTCTTTTAAAATATTAGGAGGCTGAGATTCAGTTAAAATTGTAATTATAGCTTCTTTCCTCTTGAAATATTGTCTATTCCAAAAAATTATCAAATTATGTGGAGACTTAAACTTATTTTCCACTGATAAAGAGCCAAAAAGTACCATGGTCTTAGTTGTCTGAGATAATTTAAATAAGCAAGGACAAAAGGAAAGGTTTTCCTTAATTGATTGGTAGCAGTAAAGAATTTTAGTCTTCAGTAGAGATTGAATATGCCTTCAAATTTCTTCAGTTGGCAAAATTTGACTTTTGGGTTATCTTCTACAGGTAACACTACCCAACAATGCCAGAGTCAAATAATCAGTTTTGTTTACATTTGTGTCAGTTATTAATGCAATGCCATGTAACAATTCATATCTTTTTAGTTGGCACAAAGAAGGAAGTTTTGCTGGCCATGAGTGTGGAGTGATACACGAAGGGAAGGCTATGGTGTTTGCACATGCAGGACCACGTAATTTATGCACTCCCTATCAGGATATGACTGCAGTGGGGAGCGTGCGCTTTTATTTTGCCATGGGTGAGTTGGCTAGTACAGGGAGTCCTTGGCTTATGACTGAGTTTTATTCTCTTCTTTTGAGTTCATATTTATGATGTAGTCAAAAAAAAAAAGGTGGAGCAGCAATTGCTAAATGTTTTATGGGAGATGTGTCCTAACCAGGAATTGCCACATGTGTGGACCATAAACCTATGGAACCTCTGTAATAATAATAGGGACTATTTCCAGACCCTATCATACTAACTGTGGATCGATCTATCCCCAAGGGCATTCTTGCTAAATTGCAACTTAAGCAGCTTAGATGCCTGCCACACCAACTGAAGCTGTTAGGGGGTAATAAACTATTGTTTACCAGCTTCAGCAGCCATGCCAGACATCTAAGCCAGGTCATGACAGGTCTCCTGGGCACCCTTGACATACTTCTGAATGTTCACACAGTTCTTTATAATCTGGCCCACAAGTTCAATGTATAATCATGGTAATCGTTTGACAGATAAAATTGTTATACTAAAGATTTTTATGCAAGTTTGAATTTACATATATTATTTTCATGTTTCAGGTACAGAGCCTTGTTCTTTTGGTAACTTTACAGATGGTCTAGAGGTTCTTGTGTACTCTGAGGACAAGAGAGGTCACACTCGGACACTGGACATATTGCCACCTCAGAAGTTCAGGGTACAGACTTCACTGTTTGTAGTTTTTAATAACAACTCATACACTGTACACTGTACCACAAAATTGACCAAATTAAGTGTTTTTGCCATGGTGAATCATAGCTGTGTGATGCAGCAGATACTGACATACTCATACACATATCAATTTTTTTTTGCTTCTATAGGGATTATTTAACCATATTGTGTAAATTTATAGTGGGGCACAGAAATATTAACAGTTTTAGCTTTGATATTTGATTTAAAAAAAAGGTCTAAAAAAAACATTATGTACCAAAACTGTGGAAATTAATGTCTAAAAAATCACAAAATTATGTCATGTGATAACATCATTTGTAGAAACCAAAGTTAGTCTCGCTTCCTCTGGACCTGAAGTCTAAAAAGATGAAATCTCGAATCTGCTGGATCCAGAAGAAGCATGGAGGCCTGAACAACCATATTTGGAGCATTGACAGTATCCAGCTTCTGCCCCGTCTTCCCAGCATGCCCTCTCACTATGTGCAGTTTGGTCTGAACATGAACTGTGGCACAAAAAGTGATGGAAGGTAAGTTATTAGCATAGGTGTTGGCAGTACCCACGGTTTTGGTTCCCTACTCTTCTCGTCCCTGTATCCACCTTGGTGCATGACCATGTCTCCGTTACTGCTCATTACTGCTTCTCTTCCTCGAGTACAAGGGCCTGTGTATCCATCTCTTAGATTTAAGTCACACATAATCTCAATTTAATCCACATCAATTTTGGGCTCTGTTGGTTCACTGGTCTGATGGTGATTTTTTTCTTTGAAACATATCATTTTAAATCATATGCTGTAATTGTGTCATTGACATTGTGTTTTTAACAAAATTAGAAATATAATAATGTGTTTACTATCATGGTAGAGTGAAGCTGGAGTTCTCCACAGATCGGGGAGACAACTGGTACCTAGTCCATCAGCCATGTTTGCCTGGAAGATGTCCTGGACAGCATCACACAATGTCTTCTGTCTTCAAACCATTCGAGATTAGCGGGTAGGTGTTCCCTCACAATTGGCTGTCATCTTGATCATTTAATAAATTTAAAAAACCACATAAAACAAGTTTATAATACAAGAACACCAGTCTACCATTATTCAAAAATCCTAATTAAAATTATTTTTTTAATGGGAATTTGTGCGTAATGATACTATTAATATAGTACTAATTGATAGTATTACCACCTTCTGACAGTGAACTGTGGTCCAGCTGCTTTAGAATCTCTGTAGTAAAAGCACCCATATTTTATTTGTTTTATATTATGAATAATTATTTTTCAAAGATGGCAGCGTGTCACTGTGCCTTTGCCCTATGCAGCTCTCACATCCACCACCAGATTGCGCTGGCGACAGGTTGGAGGGTCGGGTCAAGTTCACTGGGGGATAGATACAGGTAACTATCATGTGGAGACCTGACACTGTCAGTATTGAAAATTGCTACTTTTTTCTAACTTAAAAGTATTTACTATTTGTGATGCATATATCATGCACTGAAAAGAATAAAATAATGAAAATAAATTTAATTTTGCAACTAAAAGTTGGATTGTGCAAGTCATAAATGAATTGAATAAAAATCAGAAAAGGGGTACCAATATACTAATTTCCCTTGACACAGATTTTATATTACTGGCATTTTGTGTGTAAACTTTGCATTGGGAGGGCTGTGCATTACTGTTAACAAACTTGTTCTGTATAGTGACGCCATCTATCTTTTCTTATTTGCAGTTTTTATTGGACCCTGTTCCAAGGGGTGTGGAGGACATGGTTACTGCAAGGAGAGTGGATGCATGTAGGGAACTTTTCCATTTTAACTGAGAGGATTTAGTTTAAATATCCTGCAAACCAGCAACAAAAATAATGATATTTATTCAGTAATTTAAAAACACTAAGATATCATTATTTGACTATGGTAGAGAGCACTCAAAGATTCCCTTCTCCACCAAGGAAATTTAAAAATATTATCTTAAACCTGGATCAAGTAAAGTGTTTTTTATTCCTTTCCATTATGGATAACTATCTATTCTGAAAGTTTCGTCAGAAATTTGTGAAAAGCTTTATGAGATATCTTGAACATAAATAAGCAAACAGAAAACTAGACCAATGCTGATAAAAACATAGTATTAACTAACCTCCCTTTTCAAAAATATTAACATTTTTAAATGTTTAAATTTGTTTAGAATTTTGAACTAATGCTGTCCTTGTTGCCATGGTCACTGTGATAATTTAATATATGAAAATTCCAGATGTGACTTTGGCTACAGTGGTGACACCTGTGAGGAGACAACAGCATCACATCCAACATCACTTGTGGAAATGCTGTCACCTTCAGCAGACCAGGTAGATGTTTTAGATATTTTTGATTATTTATTTACAATATGAACTTAAGATGGATTGCATAATAGTGGGTGAACTTATGAAATTATTTTTTTCTTATAATTTATTCCAAAATTTGAACCAAACAACAGAGGAATTAGGTAAACACAGGCTTTCCCTGTTGCTTGTTAATGTAGTTTTCTGTAAAAAATATCTACTGCAGTAGTAACTCAATATGTTTGGACAAAATGAATGATTAATTTCCCCTTTCAGAATATTTTTTTGTTAATAATACTTAAAATGATGACGTGAAGGTTTTGAAAAGCTTGTTGGTTTCATGTCAGAAGTTACATTGTTGTGAGTGTCTGAAAATGCTAAATCTTGAAATAATCAGAATATTAAAATAAGCGAAGTGTTTGAAAATTTAAAGCAATAAGTATAATTTTTTAAGATTTAATCACTTTGATATCCAACATTGACATGGGTTATGTGATAATGGATGTTGTTGTCCTCAGGTTCTACAAGCACGGTTTATGAGCATCCAGGGGGCGACACTGAGCTATGCTTGTGGCGTTGTGGCCAGTGGGAAGGCACTGGTGTTCAATGGAGATGAGATGAGAAAGGCAGAAACTGTTGATCTTAACACCACCTTGTCAAGGTATGTTAAAAACTTGAATATTTAGCTGGTCTTGAACATTTTGTCACAAAATGATTTTCCGTCATCGTAACTTTTTACTCCATGAAAATTTCATCAAACTTGAAAATGGGCCTCACAATAATTTTGTTAAGTTTGTCACCTAATATGGACAGGTTGGATTCAGGCATTTGCAGATATTTTAAAATTGAAATGGTTTTTAAGTGACTAAATTTTCAAGTTTTTACCATATATGGCAGTGTTATGATAAGGAAGGAGGAGTAAAGGGGGTTATGAGAAGACAGTGGAAAAGTTGAAAGGGATTAAGGCTGTGGTTTTTAATGGTTCTTTGATTTTTAAGACAGGGATTGCCATTCGGAATAGATCCTTACTAAAGAGCATGTGGGAGTGGAATGATAAAATTTCATTTGGGGTTGGCATAAGAGGAGCTTTTATTGGTCAGGTATCAATAAACTTATGTATTGTATTACTTTGTACTTTATGACGTTAACGGAAGTGAATTACTTGGGATTGAGGAGATATGAAGGTTGGTAACTGTTTTATTCATTTCATTGTAGATATCTCCAGTTTAGCCTTCGTATAGGCAGTGAGTCACCGGTCAGTGCCTGTCTGTCCCCTGACAGACCAGATGAGGCCGTAATACTGGACGTTTCATGTAACGGTGGGATAATGTGGGACACGATGAAAATGTTCACTGCCAGTCATTATACAACACCCAGGTATACTAGGTTCTCTCTCTCTCTCTCTCTCTCTCTCTCTCTCTCTCTCTCTCTCTCTCTCTCATAATATTATTTTAGAATGCTGAGAGCAAATATCATAAACTTCAAATTATGAAAGATTTTCGGGGGCATAATAATATTAGCTTAGTGGACATGGTACATGCAGCTACTTGTATTGAACACGAAGTTCTAATTACCCAACAAAATATCAAATAAACTTGTTCTTTTAAGACTTCTAGTCCTTACTATAATAATTAAATAATGCATATACTATGCTGATGAAAACTTTCAGGTTATAACGTAGAATATTTTTTTAGGGTTGAGTTTATTCATCTCTTGCCTTCTGCCATTGGTCCAAGCTGTCGTTTCCGCTGGTGGCAGCCAAATCACTCGGGCCACAAACTGGACATCTGGGCTCTGGACGATATCTCCCTGACCAGTAAGCTCTATAATACAATCAGCCTGGACGTAGGAAAGCTGGACATACTGGACAGTGGGGTGAAATTACACTTGGGGGAGATTGGGAGTTTCTGTGGAAAATTAAATGCTGTGAGGTTTGTATCATTTCATACATCTCTTATGCTATCTCAGCAACGGTCCATGTACTTTGTGCACTTGCAATTATTATATTGATCTATTGCCTTATTTATTTGTTTTTTTTTATTTTTTACTTTTTTTGTTTGTGTGTGTGTTTAATAATGAGGTCCAGAAAACATTTTTATGCACAAATGTAATGTACTTTCAAAATGACTCCATTTTTATTGTCACTATGATAACACAAATATCAGGCTTTATATTTACTTGAACCTAACATGTAATCCAGTTTGAATAAATGATATTTCCTAAGCAATGTATTGACAATAAAACTTGAATTACACCAACCATTCACTGGCAATTCAAAACCTCAAGTTTTTTACATGCTAAATTCTATGAAAACTGCCAGATTTGTGAAGCCAGAACATCAAGAGGAATTCCGCTCCATCACCACTAACGCTGTCCACATTGGACCCAGCCATGAGGTGGAGTTTGAGCTCGTCCTGGGGTGTGGTCAGCGTTTCTCGGACACGGTGGACAACAGCGTTGTGCTGGAGTACTCCACTGACCATGGGATGAACTGGAACAAGGTACAGTATAACTATTTTTGAAGGAATAATTAATTAATACATTTACAACTTAATTGTTTCAAGGATAACTGTTTTGTAAATAGCATGACGAACTTCAAGATTATGGACTGTTAAGCTTTATTGGCCAAATAAGCATTGTGAAACCTTTGTCATATTATTGTTATTATTATTATTATTATTAAGATGATGATGATGTTAACATTTAACCAAGCTGATATAATTAAGTTCTGTGTTTTTATTTGTCAAATAAATAATGTGAAGCTTTTTCATATTATATGAACATTAATTGAGGTATTATCATAAATATTAATTTTACAGGTGGTGGGTTCATGCCTTCCACCCCAGCAGTGTCCTCAGTACCAGTCAGACAGTAAATACTCGACCAGTGAGTTCAGGCAGTGGAAGAGAGTAGTAGTGCCTCTGCCTGCTCATACATGGTACATGCATATTAAACATAAAACTTGTTGCTGTATTTTTTCTATTACACATGTTAAAATGACTCAGCACCTCTTTTTGGAACTCTAACAGAGTATGTGCCAAAATGTTTAAAGCCTACTGGTGAATCGGATCACCTGAGTAGAAGAATCTGTTGATACAAATTGAAAATGGTGGCCTGTAACTGATTATATTTGCTTGATTTTAATGCCGTTTGGCATGGGGTTAGTATAGTTATCATATTTCTAAGTTAAAAATTTTATAGGATGTAGTCTCATATATATATTGAGACAGTACATCATACAAAGTTGAAAAAAAAAGAATTATTACATTTTCTGAAGTGCCCTCTGTTGTTTATATATATAACAGGTCAGTGACGACCATGTTACGGCTGCACCAAGCCCAGTGGACACCTGGGGACAGCTGGGCAGTTGGTCATCTCTACGTTGGTCAGCAGTGTCCAGAGCTATGCAGTGGACATGGGAACTGCTTTGAAGGGGTTTGTAGGTGAGAATATATTTAGGTCCTAGTTTTAAGTCCAAGTTCTAGCTGCAATATATATGATGATTTTGTGGGGTTGTTTTATTTTTGCAAGAGGTACAGAAATTGTGGAATTAACATAAGGTAAAAAAAGGCCTGGGAAAAAAGATAAGGATATAGGTAGATCCAAAGTGATTTTTGATTGAAAAAGTATTTCCTTTACTTAATAGTTAAGTTAATCTTAGGTCTGGGAAATTTTCACAGTTGTCAATTTCTTCTTATTATTATTATGATGATGATGATGTATGCTTTAATTTTATTATTCATTAAACGTTACAGATGTGATCCAGGCTACAGCGGTGAAACCTGTCAACCAATAAAGCCACTAAAGACGAAATTGCGGGAAGATTTTTCCCGGATGGGCGAGCTTCACGAGACCTGGGAAGTGGTGCTGGGAGGAGAAGTGGTTCCAGTCAAGAAGGGATGCGGCACCATTCTGTCTGGAGAATCCCTCCATTTTAGTCAGGTGACATAGCCTACTTTCATTTTATCATTTTAATGATCAGCTGAATTGATATTGCCCCTTTTTCCCCTAAACTATATATTGAGAATAAAACTTTAAAACTTTGCCAGAAAAAAAGTACATTTTGTCGATAAAGTCAGCAGTGGTCAACTCAACCATGATCATAGTTGTTCAGATTAACCAAAATATAGGGGTATGTTAAACACTGTCATGTGAGACCTTTTTGTGAATGACATAAAAAAGTGGTAAAAATATGGTTATGTCCAATATGAGTGGAATGAGGGGTTAAACATGGGTATGAGGTCTTATTCCTTGCCAAGAATTTGCAAGGCTATTGGTTGTTTGCTGGATTTCTGCTCAGGAAGGCAGTATATGGTTGTGCAGATAGGTTGCCCCGTTATATGGCTTGTGTACCCTGGACATGCATGGTTAAAACGGAAGAGGCCATTGAACGGCAGCCATTTCCTCGTAGGTGAAACACGCAAATTGGATGATTTTGACATGAAAATCATTTTTTTGTGACGAGGTAGGTGTTATAGGGGTAAATGTATGCATGATATATCATCCAGTTGCTTCATTTTGACCATTGGGATGTTCAATTTGCAGTTATTAAGTGTTAAAGTGCAGCTGGAATACGACCGTTTACTCATATTGCAAGGGCAAGCATGCTTACGGTTCGATGAAGGACTGTTTAGACAATTTTGTTTTGAAATGTCAAGTATGTGTGTTTTAGTGTCAAGATCTAGATGAAAAGGCCAGATAGCTCAGGCGGTAAAGCTGTCGATCTGTATTGTAAGTGAGAGGTCCCGGGTTCGTTTCTTTTTTTGCTTTATCTCGTTTCTATTTTTTTGTTCCATATTTAAGCATATGTTAACATTGTTTTATTTATTTATATGAAAAGATAGTTACATTATTATCAGATATCTACTATGAAATAGACTAAAAAATATGGCAATCATTTATACAATTATAATGCAGTGTAAAACAAAGTTAGCTTTAGATAGAATAAATATGCTGCCAGTGCAACTTGCATTTTCTTGTTTAATTTGTACTTAGATCTAAATACTACTAGCTTCAAAAATGAATAAAAATTACAAGTAAATTGAAATTTAAAAAAATTTACAACATTTGCAAGGTTTTTGCTCCATGAGCAATTTTATTTGATAAGATTTAAATGTTATGATCATGAAATATCCTAAAGATTCTGAAATGATTTATAGTTAACATTAAGTTATTTGTCACATATATTAATGATTACCCCAACCTTCAAGTTGTTAAGTATAAAGTGCACAGTCAGTGTGATGTTCTTGAATCAGACGCATCTAATCTCAACATGTTAATAATTACCATGACCAGTATAAAAGACCCGTGCATGTTCTTGTAATTTGAACATTAAGTTGAAAACCTCTCACTATGGATATGTGGGCCGCCACCCTTGGTGCTTTTTGCACGATTACCCATGTTGAACCACAAAAGCTACAAGGTATCGATAGAAATCCCCAAGTGGTTGTTACCAATGTCTCTCAGTGTACTTACACACTGACCGTTCCTGCTGCCAAGAAGTCCTGTAGTGGTCAAGATCAAAGAGTTGACCAGCTACTGGACAAGACAAAGAGGCAAGAGGCAGCATTGATGGCGGTGCAGTCTATGCTGATACAAACTGAACAACGATTGGGTGAACAGGAAAAGGTAAATAAAACTAATGATTAGAAGTCACAGTTGTCTATCAGATTTTGCTTGAAGAAAAATATTATAGAAAAGAGTTATTTTGAGAATAAAGATGTAAAAATGTTTTAGCTTGGAGATTTTTAGATGATCTCTTGTTTTCAAGTTCATATAACTTATTGTTGTTATCCAGCCTTTTTAAATTAATTAATTAATTAATTAATCTGTTTGTTTATTAATTTATTCCAGAACAGATATGGTTTTGATTTTGGACTAAGATTAGCTTACCAAGTTACATGTAAAATTTAAATAATATTATGTAAGAACAAGGCTTAACTGCTAAATTGTGCAGGTTCAATTCATTTCTTCCAGAAGCTTGATGAGCAGGCATTGGTCATACAGAGCCTGTCTGCCCAAGTCCAGGCACTCACTAGTTCTATTTTCAAAGGACCATTGAAGAGGGAGTATCAAGGTAATAGATAACTTATGAAATGATTTATGCTTTTTGATATTTCCCACTGCACCTGTCTAAAGATATACTTGGTAAGTTAGTAGTATGAACAGCTTAATTATTATCCAGGGAGTTTCTGACCATTATATTAAAATGATATTGCAGTTTTCTGTTAATGGAAATTATGTTGTTGTCTTTCATATTATAATTATTGTCTTTCTGTAAAATTTATTCTTGAAGGGCATGTGTAAAGTTTCCAAAGAAGAAACTCAGAATAGTTTAGGTCCCCAACCTTTGGCATTTAGGTCCCAAAATAGAAGCAGTGTGTGTCCCCAACAACCAAAAAAAAAAAAAAAAATGGGGTCTCCAGCTGCACAGTTACCTGTAGGTTCTGAACGAAAATAGCATTGGTCCCCAACCTAAGCAATCCAGTCCACAGCCTAAATGATAAACAGAGACCATATGATTGATTCTGATCATTTGCAAATTATTCACTTTTGAGAAAAATTATCAACTGATATTCTTTTAAAATTTAAACATTTAAAGGTACTGTACATACGAACCAAGCATCGGTGGAGCGTGGATTCCCAATAACACATGTAAACCACTTCTACTAGTTTCTTATACGACTCTAATAAATTCCAAATGCCAAGGGATAAACTGAATAAATCACCCGATCAGCCATAAAAGAGCTTTAGAGTGCTCCTTTCTTTAAATTTTTGGTTGTCAATTTAGCCTACTTTCGTGACCTACTTTTCTGCCCCATTGACATACAGCATAGAATGCTAGCAGAAAAATCTGTTCAAACATCACTTTTGGGTAAAATTAAACAATGCCTTTTGGTAATTCTCTTAGTTACACTACTTGAAACTATATGCTGGCATTTGGTTGGTTTTTATGACAAAAAATTGACTTTGTATGTATCTTTAAACCTATTAAAATTTCAGATTGTTCTGAATGGCGTCTTGATGGTTACAATTACTCTGGTGTGTACAATGTCACCCTCAGCCACGCCCTGACGCCCATCTCTGTGTGGTGTGACATGGACACTGATGGTGGTGGCTGGACAGTTTTCCAAAAGCGCCAAGATGGTTCCGTTCATTTTTTTCTCGACTGGGACCAGTACAAGACTGGTTTTGGGAATGTGGATGGAGAGTTCTGGTTGGGGAATGACAACCTTCATTATCTGACCAATCAGAAAGATTACGTTCTGCGGATTGATATGTGGGACTTTGACAAAAACCACAGATATGCTGAATATGAGCACATGAAAGTGGATGCGGAAAGCAACAAATTTACACTTCATATTGGAAAATATAGTGGCACAGCTGGTGATGGTCTTGGACATGTTAACAATGCAGCATTTTCTACAAAGTATCATGATAATGACCAGTTTAGTGGTCATTGTGCTCTGGTTCTTAAAACTGGGTTTTGGTTAGGAGGATGTGCCAGTGCAAATCCTAATGGACTGTATTATTTTGACCCAAAATATACTGGACAAGATGCAATAAGTTGGGAGACATGGAAAGGGAATTATGCCCTGAAAAAAATTGAAATGAAATTGCGACCAATGCTTTTTCATGTTTATTAGCAATATTTTTTGTTTAATTTGTGATTTTTGGCTGTGATTAGATTTTCACACAGAATTTGACAATTTTAAGAGATTGAAAATTGGAAAATGAAGTATTTTCATGTCACTTACTAATGGTTTAGACCTACTGATTGTGACATAGTTATGATTTTTATATAAATTATGTGGAGGAATAAGAGGCTAGATAAGTGGTACTTGATGTAAGAAACTATCAAATGCCACAGTTTATGAGCACTGAATAGATATTTTCTGTGTTATACATTGTATTAATCTTATTTCTATATAGCGTACTTCCCTCATTCAGGCTATAGACTTTTTATCTGTCATTTGATAGGTTAGAAAAGCTACAGTTGTACAGGGAACTCTGACCTAGAAATTTGTCTAAACTTTCAGATCCAAATTTTAGTCTACTTTGGCCAGAATATGAGCCTGAAGACTTATATGAAGACCAGTGATAAAAAATTGTGAAAATGAAATATACCGATAATAAATCATTCCTATACAATCAAATATGTTTGTGTTTGCTTTAGTCTCATAATAAGTAGTGGTAGTAAGCTCTAGGGTCTTGTTTTACAATGCAGTATCAAAAATAATGTAATTGACATGCTGGGAAATGCAGCAAAAATTTACTTTTTCAGAAAATGTAATTGTAAACACAAAGTAAGAGGCCTCCGAATGCAGCAAAAAGTTGCATTAATTCCTTATCCCCGAATGCACCAATGAAACTTTCTTGCCAACTTGTGCAAAGCCTGGGAGGTGGTCTCAATCTTTGCTTGAACAGATTGTTTTCTTGTTTATTGCTTTCATGCAAATTGAGACTTAAAACACACTTTCATTTTTGTACCACACATTGGAATTTGAAAGAGTAAGCTGCCATCATTTTAAAAAGAGTTTGTCAATATAATGACAAGACTGGGCCAGGTATCTTTTATATGTTCTACATTCTGCCTTGTTAAGAGAAATCATTACATTTTGCAACTGATACTTTTTTACCAAATGATTTTCCATCATTGTTTTTCAGGCTGGTAGTCGTATTCTTAGCACCCATGATATGGACACAAGACGTACAGACTTTCTGGAATTCTACTTGCGCATTGGAGGTTCCAACTTGCTATCCTGTCAAGGAGGTATAAACAGGGAGAACAGCGTTCTGCTCCAGTACTCCCTCAATGGAGGAATCTCTTGGGAACTCCTGAAAGAGCTGCAGGGTGATGACTATAGAAATGCAAAGTGAGTGTAAAAGAAATTCATTGGAGGGGGAGGGGGGCAGCAGGCTTTTGAGGTACTAAGTAAAATAATACAAATCCAAACAATTCAGTTTTCCATTGTTCCTTACACCTTATGGTTATCTTTGAATGCTCATTATCTACTATTTTATATTTGCCTTGCATTTCTTTTACCTTGTTGCCTCCCCCCAGCTGATTTCTATCCACTGGTATGATTTGTTGAATTTTGTTCATTGCTGTTTTGTAAACAAATTCTGGGCAAATCAATTATTTCAAAATGCATAAATTAGAAAGATTTCTGCCATAAAAATGAGGGCATTGATATACAGAAACAGGCCTACCCAACTACCAGACTCGGCACATAAGGATCCTGAATTAACCGGTATATCGGACCCCACTACCCGTTTTCAAGGTGTGTGTCAGATCGCATTTCGGAGTATCATACACCAGAACAAATTTTGTAGGACAACCGCGGGCTCATCCACGCTCTGCTGTCACCTTGATTGGATAGTAAACGATTGTCGTTAAATCGCTATATGATTTTAAAACCGGGTGCATACATTTGAAAGCCACCTAGAACAACGAGCAAAAATTGTTCATTAGCTTGGTTGTTAGATATACATGCAAATTCTCAAACACAAGCCTCAAATTTTCCGTACCGTTAGCTTACGGCCAACCTGGTCGAAGACCTTCATCAGACTGACGTGAGTAGTTGTTCACACTCACTGACCGCTACGTGGTATAGCGGCCAGGACCCTCTTATAAATGTCTTATAAAATCTGAATCATCCGACATCCTGCCAAAAATACGAGAGGCTATCAACATCAGCCGACACCAGCCACTCATGAATAGGGACGGGGGGTTGATCTACCTGACATTTACATCTACCTATTTTATTATCTCTATGGGGGTATAGGGGACTTTACGACATTCGGTTTGAATGCTTTAACAACTTTTGATAGGGCTTTTTTTGCATTGTATTAGATTAATGTGGCAGTCTAAGGTTGTTCTAGGTGGCTTTCAAATTTATGCACCCGGTTTTAAAATCAAATAGTGATTTTACGACAATCGTTTACTATCCAATCAAGGTGACAGCCGAGCGTGGGCTCATCCTGTCGGTGTTTTGACTGATACTCCGAAATGCGATCTGACACACACCTTGAAAACGGGTAGTGTGGTCCGATATACCGGTTAATTCCGGATCCTTATGTGCCGAGTCTGGTAGTTGGGTAGGCCTGAGAAATATTATTTAATAGCTAGTACAGATACACATCAGTTTTCAGTTTGTAAGAAAAAAATTTTAAATTGTTGAAATGCCGACTTTCATTGAAGGCATGCAGTTAGTCTGACAGTTTTGTAAGTGGGTTTTTGGTAACATACTTTGAACCCTTCCTACAATCATACAGTTGGTCTCGTACCACACACTTTTCAATTTGTGATTTGTTTTAATTTGTGGTCATATATATATTTATAAAGGTTGGTCCACATTGCTCTCCCAGTGTCAGCCAAGGCAGCTCAAGTCAGGTATCGCTGGTGGCAGCCATATCATGGAGGCTTGGAGCAGGACCAGTGGGCCCTAGATCAGATCTCTCTGGATACATACACAGATATGCCACTGTTGTATGATGACTTTGAGGTGAGGTGTGTGTGTGAGTGAGTTTGCGCATGCCCACACGTATGCATGTGTGTGTGTAAAAGAGAGTGAGAGAGAGAGAGGGGGAGAGATCTAGTGCTTAGTCTTTTCATATTGAGAAACTATTTAGTTATATAATTATATATTCATCATTTAAACATTATAACTTATACCAACAGAAGCATAATAAATAAGCCATTTTAAAGTAAAATATTTTTAAGGACACAGATTTGGTATCTGTGCAGTTATCACAACTTATTATGATGTTATTTTTTTCAGCGGTTTAATGTGTATGACTCTTCCCATTGGCTGACGGTCACTGAGGGCATGCTGTTTATTTATTGCCAGTCTGCATCCACTGCACTGGTCCTTAACAATCAGGATAATCCAAAGTTTGCCATCACCAAACGACTGAAACTTGCAAAAGGAGATGTTGTGCAATTTAAGGTTAGATACGGTATATTTACATTATTATAATAGTAATTTAGTTTGGCATAATATAAAATTAAAAAAAAAACGTAAAACATTGAATAAATTTTATGCATTGCAAACAGAAGCCAGCCAATTTTTATCATCCCTGAAACTAAAACTTTGAATGTGATCTCAGAATATGCTTCACTGCAGTGCTTTGGAAGCATGTCTCACCATAATTTTGCTTTGTATCTTCTTTTATGTAAAAAAAATGTATTGTTTCAGATCAATGTTGGCTGCTCTAGGCAGTTTGCATATGCAGACCCAGTGTATCTTCGATTTTCCCATGATTCTGGGAAAACATGGCAGCCAGTCATCAAACATTGTTACTTGGAAGATAGCTGTCAGCAGCAGTATAGAGAGGAGAGTCAATATTACACAGGGACATATGGAGAGTGGCGGATTGTTGTGGTTCCTTTGGAAGATTACATTGTTGCTAAGTAAGCTAAATTGGAACATAAAATTGATAAATGGAAATTTATATTTTCCAAAGTAATTTTTTTTTAGTTATACACTTTGGGTTCATCCATTTTTTTTTCACAAGAATTTACATTTTCCACAAAAGAGTAAACTTTTTCCAGACCCCTTTTCCCCTTTCAGAAGTACAAGCAATTTGGAACATAATTTTACTTATTTTTCAAAAGTGTACAGAGGACATTAAACCTCCCCCAAGGGTATGGTTTGTAGATTTGTGAAAATGATGATAAAATTGATGACCCCTTAAAAATGTAATTGAAAATTCTGACCAGTGAATCAGGTTTGTATCTGATTGTAGTTTTGCTGAGAAGTAACCAATCAGAATTCATTGTGAAAAAAAAAATGGAATGTAGGAATAAATTAGTTGTTTGAAATTTTTGATTTATTACCTTACCTTTGATATATACTGGTGTTTTTTCTTCATTTTTTGCCTTTCTCAGGAGAAAACGACAGTTTCGTATGATCAGCTAGTTCTTACTAATTCTAATTTAAAATATGAATTTAAGAAATTTGAGTTAAGGTGATACCTGTACATATTTCTCTTGGACATTTTACTCAACAAATTTATCATGTATCTTTAATTCCCCTATATTCTCAGACCAGTGCAGTTCCAGTGGTTACAGGGTGGGGACTTATCAGCAGGCTTTGCACTTGATGACCTTTACATTGGTCAGCCATGTCCAGAAATGTGCAGCGGTCAAGGGGTGTGTAGACGGGGAACCTGTGACTGTTTCAAGGGATTCCGTGGTAATGCATGTGCATGCATGAACATGTGCATGTTGTTTTTGTTGCATGCATGGTTCATTATAATAATAATAATAATAATAATTTTATTGAGCATTAAAATGTGTACATTTACATTTTACAAGCTCTCTAAACTACAGTTTTACATAAATTGTAATTGTATACACTTAAATAATTATGACTTCTTTAGATCATTCCATATAGATTATTGTTATGAATTAAAATATATGCCTAATAACAGGATCTAGCAAAACCAGTGTATACTAGCACATTGAACCATAACTGTCTAACAAATTAAGTGTCTGTTGGTTTAAAGCATGTACAATGTACTTTAATACGGTTTTATGATACGATAGACATTTCCAAAGATCATTTGTCTCAGTTTTTCTGTTCAGATTATTTGATGCTTTCCAGCGTTTCATGATGTACTAGAAAAAGTTTCAAAGAGTAATATATTATTTTGAAGAATTCCATGCCTCAGTTTTAATTTCAGTCATAATAATATTGTAATGCACAGTTTTTATTTACTTCTTTTATTCATTTATTTTTTTCTACTTCAGAGCCAAATTGCACTAAGCCTAGTCAGGGGTCTCATGGAGAATTTGATCGCTTTGACAACATGAACCAACCCAGTGCATTATGGGATAGCATCCATGGGGGGCAATTAGGGGCAGGCTGTGGTGTCATTGATGTTGGAAAGTCACTTTATTTCTATGGTGATGGAACTAGAGAAGCCAAAACCGTTGTCATGGATATATCTAACATCAAGTGAGATTTTTTGTCTGAAAGTTAATTGGGCAATGAGTTTGTGATTACTTGATTTGTACAATTAATTTTATGTTTTACCAAATTTGATAATTTGGTATACTATGAAACGTGTGTTTAAATGCCTTTTATCAAATTAGACCTAAAAAATTAAAATAGAGAACAAAATTTATTTATTTTTTTTTTAATCTAACTGTCACTAAAAGTATCATTTGACTGTTCAGATGTTTTGGAATAGCAGTTCTTATAATTGCAGTTACTGTTGCTATATATATGTGAAATTATATATTTCTGACAACCATACTTTTTCATTTTAGAATGCTTCAGTTTGACATCAGAATTGGAAGCAATGAAAACACAAAATCCTGCAGGAAACCAGCCAGAAGAAATGAAGGGGTAATTGTAGAATATTCCACCAATAATGGTATCACATGGCATTTGTTGCGGTCCTTGGATCCATTTACATGCTGCAACCAATCACAAGTGGTGAATATTCAGCTACCAGATGGCGCCAAAAGCAAAATGACTTCATTTAGATGGTGGCAGGCATTAGGGACAGAAGGTAAATTTTAACTTTAAAGTTCTTACTGAAGACTTGTGGGGAACATATTGTAACTTAATATTTAAAATAGACCAGCTGATCTCTCCAAGGATTAAAAATTAAAGCGACCAATTTTAATTTTAATACATTTATTTATTCAACAATTAAAACTCATACTGGACATTTACCCTGTATGAATGGTAGATGGAATATGAGCTGAGATTGTCTATAGAAATCACATACTGGACACTTACAAACAGTACATACAATATGGTCAGTGCTCATAACACCGACCGTTAATATGTTGTAGTATTTTATTTTTGAATTAAAGGGATAATAACTCTTCGTATGAGATCTATATTTCACAATAAAAATATTGTGAATAACTCATAGAAATATAATATATTCTGTTTTACCATAAAAACAGCAATTATAGCTATTATTCTGATATCTGAACTTGTCTTTAGACCACGTGACCTCCATTGATGGCTATACTCTGTTAAAATCTCTTAAGAGATTTTAACAAAAAACCAAACTTTTTAGAAAAAAACCAGGGACTAACTTCGAATGTAAAAATGGATTCATTAATCATTGGTAAGTATGGGAAAATTGTTGTTTACTCCAGGAAAATTCATTTTTTGGCCGAAACAAAGAGTTATTATCCCTTTAATATCCATTCTTTATTGATTTAAACAACAATTGGATGAATCAACAAATATACTGTGGAATTTATTTATTATATTGGTTTTCACAGATGAAGAGAGGGCACAGTGGTCCATAGACAGCATAGTCATAGGTATTAACGAGACCACGCGCTCCACCTTCCAGGATGATTTCTCTCCCATGCAGCAGGACGTTTGGTTCATGGCCCAGAATGCAGTGCCAAGACTGACATGTGACTCCAAGGACTTAGCATTGGAGTTTAGTAAAACAGATGGTGAGTCAACATTTTGATGCGTGTCTTTTGGGAAAAATAGCATAATTTGGTCATATGGAATTTATTAAATATATAAGCTGTGAATGTTCAATAAATTGAAATATGTTTTATTTACACAGAGAAAAGCCATCCTTTCTACTGCCATGCAGAACTTGTGGTAATTTTCAAAATTAACTTTTAAAACCCAAACTATAAAGATAGAATAGTAGTGCACTTTTGACTTTGTACTTTTGTGTATAGAAAGCAGAATTATCCCTTTCTGCTTGTACACTAAAAGAATCATTATACATAGTCATTTTTAGAATCCAAACACTAGAACTAAATGGCATATTGCACGAAGATTTTTGAAATTTCAGAGAAACAGTTTATTAAAATGGGGAAATGTTAAGTGGCCACAAAAAATTAGGAGATATAAATTACCATAACATAAAGAATAATATTTTTGATACAGCCTATTTGATTCACACATAAAACTAATAACATGAACTGGTATCATCTAAGATCATAATATTTATTCAACATTGCAGCTGTGCAGAGGTACGCAGAAACCTGGGACTTCCATGTGATGCCATCCTCGTTCCTGCAGTTTGATCTGGCCATGGGTTGTGGCGGGGCATACTCCTCACTGTACCATGTGATGCTGGAGTTCTCCAAGGACATGGGGCGGACATGGCACCCAGTGGTGGAGGAATGTCTGCCGCCTGACACCAACTGCGTGGGTTATCATCTCAGCAGTGTCTTCTCGTCAGAGTCACACACAAACTGGACTAGGGTGACCATGTACCTCCCTGNCTGGATTTTTTAAGGAGAGTAATTTTTCCTCAGGACACCATTAGACTAATAGCTACAAGAGACTTGGATGCATCTGCAATTATGGTGCTGCAGTTTGTGTTCCAATATGGCTGCAATGACATGCATCCAACATGGTCGCCTGAACACAGTGTGCTGTTGCAGTATTCAACCAATGGCGGGGTTAGCTGGCAACTCCTAAAAGAGCTGTTTTTTGTTACATCTGCTGGAAGAAGGTTTTCTTTTCTTTTCTTTTTTATTCAAAATTAAAGTATCAAGCGGTAATGGAGATTTTGTTGGTAAATGTTTTTTATATAATTTTTTATGTAGTTATTAGATAAGATATGATAGTAAAGCTGCAATTTGAAATGAAATTTTCTTTTCTCTTCCAGATTTTTCAGTATAACAAATTCCAGGCAAGCTATGAGTAACTCAACAAGGTTCAGATTTTGGCAACCCAAACATGGAGGTAAATATTATGTGGGTGTATCAGTTCACTTTGTGTTAATGTTGTCAAAAAGGTTCTTCAATGTACAAAATACTCAATTTTTACAGAAAAAGTGTCGGAATTTCTTGGATTTATTCATGTTGCCTGATGTGCATTGTATACCATTTAGTGACTTTTTACCCATTTTTATTTCAGGTTACATGCAGTCTGTTTGGTCAATCGATAGTCTGTACATAGGGGGAGCTGCTATGCACCCTACCTCTGTGTATGAAACATTTGACTCTGAGCCTGACCCAGCGCTCTGGCTCTTCTGGCCTGGAGGAAGGATTGGAGAGTTTTGTGCAGATCATACAGGGTAAGTTAACTTTTTTTTTTTTTTTGGGGGGGGGGGGGGGGGCTAAGTCAATTGTTTTGAGATTTTTGATAGGATTTGATAGTTTATCATATTTCAGTCTGGAAATGTTTTTATTTATACATATACAAGTTTGTTAATATTCCCAAATGAATCATCTTATGGTTGTGAGAAATATTCAAATAAAATTCACATAAGTTCAATATAACTGTAATGGAAATTTTTACAACTTTTTTGTTACATTTTGGGAATACCTTGCCTACGTTTTTTGCCAATGTAGGCCAGATACACCACTGACTGGCTCCAAGGCAATAGTGTATAAGAGAGGTCCTGGTGAGAAGTCTATCACTACTAACGACCTGGAGGTTGGGGAGAAAACTGTGGTGCAGTTTGATGTGAGATTTTGTTTTTAGTATTTTTGCGGTCATTGTGTTGATTTTAATCATTGGGTTAGGGTTATATTCAAAATTTCTTTGTACATTAAACTAGTTCCTATATCCATATATAATTGTTCTCAGTATTGAAAACTAACTTCACCATTTTTTTGAAGAAAGTACACTTGAAATGTATGCCATGTGTGAACATCATCCAGACCAGCAGCAGAAGACCAGTTATAATCTGTAATGGAATTGGCGCCTTTTCCTGTTGCCATTTTATGATAAGATTTAGTAACTGATGTATGAGATTGCTACGTACTTGTCACATATTTGACATTGCAGCCATTTAATTTCCAGTTCTGTAGTCGACATTCTGAAATTTCAGATAAATGTTGGTTGTTCCATCCATTCCTACCACAAACACCCAGTGTACCTTCAGTATTCAAAGGATGGAGGACTGTCCTGGTTACTAGTGGTGCCACCTTGTGAGGGGGATGCTTGTGCCCACTCAAGTACAGATGGCACTGTATTCTATAGTGGAACCAGCAAGAAATGGAGGAGAGTTATAGTGCCTTTGGCAGGATTGAAAATTTGTGGGTAGGTAGAAATAAAGGAGTGGTGATATTCTATCTATTAGTCACAGAGACAGCATAAGTTGAATTGTGAAAATGATATATCATGATGGTTTAATGTTTGTGATATAAAAGAGAATATAAAGATACAGTATCATAGATATCAGTACTGCAGTTTACTGTTTTTGCATTGCGGGTTGATTTTCTTAAAAATGAAGGATTCATAGTGTGTAAAAATATACATTTAGGCTGCTATCCCCAAAATGTTATTATGTATTTTCATTAAGTTAAGCTGTTTGTGAGTGATGTCTTTCAAAAATATTCCAGGACTGCACGTTTCCGTTGGTATCAAGGGTATTTTGGTGAACGAGAATTTACCCCGGAGTGGAGCCTGGACAATGTCTACATAGGGAATAGCTGTAGAGATCACTGCAGTGGACATGGCACCTGTGTCGCTGGAGTTTTGTGTCAGTGCGATGATACATATGATGGAAGCGGCTGTGAAACCGCGAAGGGGAACCCTAAGTACCTGAAGGATGATTTCAATGGTAAACATGGCAGGGTCTGTTTGTGGAAAGGACTAACTTAAGGTTTTTCGAACATAGTTGGTGAAGAGATATAATTTTGAGTGAGAATGTTTTGAGACTAATTTATTTTTGTCAAAAAATGATGCTTGTTTATCACATTGTATTAAAGTTAAGGTTTTTTAAAGAAAATTAAAGAAATAAAATTCTAATATCTATGTTGTGATATTTTCTTGTAGCTTAGTTTAATTCCTCTTCTAATTTTTCTTCATCTGCAACTTATAGTGTTCATTCATTGTTTTCTTCTAATTGAGAAAATAATTTTGTTCTTTCTTTTAGATGCAGCCATCTCAGACAGGAAGTGGGTGTTACACAGTGGGGGCGAGTTGACCAAGAAGTGTGGTCAGTTGGTTACAGGGAATGCCTTCCACACCACCAGCTCAGGGGTCAGAGGACTGGTCAGCAGGGACCTTGACCTTACTCAGGCCAGGTAGTGTTGAACAATGTGTTGTGCACTACCTTATATTTGTATGTGTGTACATGTTTGTGCATGTATGTGCATATGAGGGCATGTAAGAATATTGATATTTGTACATGTCAAGATATCAAGAAACAAATCTTCCAAGGCAGGTTAATATTACCTTTGGAAAAATGACATTCATATTAGAAAAACCACCAAAATAAGCATAAATTTTAAAGTATTTTATGATGAGTATTTACTGTGTCCCATAAATTCCAGTGTTGTCCAGTTTACAATAAAGCGTGGCTGCAGCCCTGTGACCTCTGACCCCACGACACAGCCAGTGCTCCTGCAGTATTCCACCAATGGCGGGATATCATGGACCACGATGGAAGCATTCTCGTTCAATGGCACATCCAACATGGCGGAGTATGTCGCGTTACCATGGCCAGAGGAAGCCAGAGAGAAGGCTGTCAGAGTGAGATGGTGGCAGCCCAGTTCTGATGGAACTTACAGGGATGAATGGGCTCTTGACGATGTAAAGATGAGATACCTTACTAAATTAATGATAACTATATAAATAATAAGCTTTTTGTCGGGAGAAAAAAACAGATTTTGTTTAGAAGTAAAAATAGTAAAGATAAATTTTCTCTAAGGAGACTAAATTTTTTTTATATCAGTTATTGTGTGACACATCATTTCAACCTTTCATAAAATGCCTTTGAACATATCACAATGTCCTTGGATAGAGGGTTAAAAAAACATGGTAAAAAACTTGTTTCAGTAATTAAAAATGCCTTCTTCACCATCATTACACAAGGGGCAATAAAAAATTTATTTCATCATATTATTTATTTTATTAATATTTTAAAGAAAGAATGAACTTTCATATCATTTTATTCAGGATATTTATCAATAAAGATATAGAAGATGTCTTCCATGTTTGCTTAATTATAAATAACAACAGGCCTTATAACACTACTACTTTAACAAATGATGCACTTGTATTTTTATCTTTTATTGTTTTTAATTGTAATCATCACGACATTAGATAGGTTTTTATTTTATTTATTTATTTACTTTCTCAGATATTTATTGGTGGTAACATTATGGGGGAGGTGGCCCTACAGGATGACTTTGTTGCCGTGAAAGACACACATTGGTTGACACTTGCCGGTGGACAACTGCAGACAGGTGTATGTCACCCTGGCAAATATGCCTTACAGTTTTCAGGTAGATGGTGTATGGTATTACACTAAATTTAGTATATGACTTTAAATTTTGATTTGTTTTTGTAATTTTTGTATGAAAATGAATATATTCTTTATTTTGAGTTTTGTGATGTTTTAATGCTGGTATATTTCTGTCAGGGAGTTGGTTGATTTTAATTTTTTAATAATTTTATATCAATTAAGTTACTTGAAATTGAAGTTTATAGCAAGGGTTTATCTAAATTTGGAAACAATACTTTGTTTTCTAGGTAATTTAACAGATGCACTTTACATTTCTGTAATTTCTGACATTATACAATTTGAACTTTAGCTGAGGTCAGTGAGTTGTTTTGCAGACCTCATAAAAGTGATTTCAGTAAGTTATTACCATATAATACATTGTTTCACTGGGAGATCCAAGATTTAGCTGGGGGTTGGGGAACAAAGACAAAAAAAACAGTTTCCTCACTCTTCAAATATAAAATAGTAGACAAGGGTAAATTATATGATATACCAGGCAAATAGATGGATAAATTGCTTAGATTTGTCTTGTTTGCTTGTTTTACCTTTTGGGGGAGGGGATATAAGGGTGCTAGCCCCAAAACTTGGGGGGGCATGACCCACTAAGCCCCTTCACTGAACCCAATGTTGAATTCATTTGAATTTAACTTTGTAAATGACAAGAAACGTCACATTATAATTAGTAAAATTTGCTATTTTCTAGGTGAAGGTACACCGCGGTTTGCAGTCACTTCTGATATTGTGGTCAGAGAGAACACATTTGTACAGTTTGAACTTGCCATGGGCTGTAACAAGATGGACAAATGTTACGGTATGAGTTTTGCACCAAATTTCAACACTTAATTCAAGTATATATTAAACAGGTAGTGCTAAAGGGACTGTGAAATATAGTGCCCAGTGAAGGGAAATAAGACACTGAATCAGACATGTTAATCATTAATATTATAATTACTATAAATGAAAAAGTGAACCATTATGTTGCTTGATGAAATTCTTCTTTCCCTTATTATTATTATAATTATTATTATTATTATTATTATTATTATAAAGCACTGTTTTACTCCAGGGATCCGTTTAGAATATTCTCTGGACATGGGGAAGACTTGGTCACTGGTGGCCAGTCACTGCCTGCCGTCCAGTGTGGACTGTGTGTCCTTCCACACTGACACCACATTCCCGTCAGATGTGTTCTTTAACTGGAAGAGGGTGATCTTACCACTGCCTTACTACACTAGGTGAGTGACAGATAATAAATCATTGTGCTGCTTCACATTTCTTTTCCTCCCTTTTGGTACAATAAAAGATTAACATTATTAACTGTTTTCTCAAGATGCTGACTGACAAGAACTGATGTGATCTTTAATTGAAAAAGAAGGGTCTGATATCTGACAATATCTCTTGCTTGAAAAGGTTTGTACTGTTTTCTTTTTCTTTATTTTTTTCTTCCTAATATTCCATTTTAATCAGTTAACATTGCGTGGAAGGGAGTTATCTGTCCAAGGTGAACAAACAGAATTTATTAAAATCAAGCCACTCAGTTTTTGAACCTCTTTCTTCTTTTGTTTCCTAGTCCATGTTATATATGTGACCTTCTATTATAGAGAAAAGGCCTTATTGTCTATACATTACTTCATCAGGTGAAGTTAAACATATGTTGCTCAGTAATTGCTTTTTATCCCCTTTGTTTGTCATCTTTGGAAAATAAATCGACCTGAGCATTGATTTTTTCTGACACACAACTTGTCAGGAGGCGTAACGATTATAGCAAAGATGTACCAGATTGACAAAAGAAGTAAAACTAAAACTGTATCATCATCATCATCATCATTATTATATTATCTTTCACCCTTTGGGTGGAACAGCAGCAGCCTCAGCAACATGCTCAGATCAAGAGTCCAAGTGTTTTGTTAAGTTGCACATCACATTGTTCATGGGGTTCCAATTTAGGTGTCCAAAATATAAGTATTGTAATAATTTGAAGTTCATCATACTGGAAACTTATAGCAGTTTTCTCAAGTGACTACACCCATTTGCCATGCTTTGTGTGATTTTCTAGTTCAGATTCAGGGCTGTGAAGGCCCGAAGTGAGCATAACTAATATACATCTAAAATGTTCAGCAGTGAGTATAAATGAATGAATAAGAATGATTTGGTACTGTAAGGAATACAATCATGTTTATCTTATGTTTTGGCCCTTGGTGACTGTACTATAGTACTATACAGAGGTGGATGGAGGCCTTCTTCTGGGTCTTTCGGAAGACAGTCAGAATTTTCAAGTTCACATTGACAGGCAGCTAATTTTTTTCTGTCAGAAGACGGTCAAAAATGGAGGACGAATCAACAGAGTTAATTTGGAAAACTGTCAAAAATATCTCTGGATTTGACCCTGCTATATTATCATACTTCTAAGTTTACAGATAGCAAACTTCTTGAGCTATGTAATGTTATTTTTAAGCCCCTAGAGAGGGTTGATATATTGTATAGCAGTTCTGTTGAAATAATATATCTTGTTATTTTAATTTGAATTTGATTGGAATGATTGCCAAGAATTGTTATTGATTTAGAGGACAGTTCTCAATTTTTGTTCCTGGAATTATCTTGTTACCTTGTGAGCTGAAGATGAATCTGAAGATTTCCTTGTCATGTGTTTGGTTCTTACTTAGTGCAGTACATAGCTTACAAAATGAAAATGTTGCAGAATAAGAGGATTGAGGCTGGGCTCACTGAGGTGTAGAGTTAGAGATGTTTTCCCTCTCTCTCTCTCTCTCTCTCTTGCTGAGCTTATGTGTGCAGGACAGGGGAGCATGCAGCTAAACATGTTTTTGTTTCATTCAAAAATGAAAAAAAAGCAACAGCATGTTTATAGATACATCAGCTGTTACTAATTTTTAGATAAACATTTAAATTGAGACGTATATATATATATATATATATATTTTTTTTTTTAATGCATGTGTCTGTACTAACAGTGAAAGTAAGTGGCCAAAGGAATTTGGCCTCTTATATCTTCAGTAAGTGTAATCCTTTTTTTTTCATCAACAATAACAAATGTCACAATAGGTAATGAACAAAGATAGAATTTTTATTATATTTGCAGAGGTGTTGAATACAATAATTGAAATGAGCAAACATTTTTAGATACCAAGCAGAACAAAAAGTACATAAACATTGTTTTTTAGGACTAATTTGCTAATTTTATACTTTTATTTCATTTGTTAATTAGTTACTCTGTATCACATCAGCTATCATATGCAATATTGAATATTACGTTCCTATGTATTTTGGTGTTCTTTTCTAGTGTGGATATTAATTCCTACATTAATCTGAAATTTTCACTAGCTCAGTCTGAATAGTCTAAATAATAGGAATAATCTGTTGTTGATTAGCGGACAAGATATATGCTTTGATGCTTTCAAAAACTAGCAGGATGCACAAAAATGGGTAAATATATCTTTAACGCCAAAATTCCCAAGGAGTACATGGCAAATCAATAACAGTGATTTCCATTTAAAATTGCAAATAGAAAGAATTCTGAATTTTGTTTATTTTCTTAAACCAAAGTGATATCAGATAGATCTAGAGCTGCTCTGACAGTCTTAAAATTTATACATTGGTGTGAGTATAGGTACAGATAGTAACCTTTAGTTTAATGACAATAAATCTATTCTGCATATTATCTGCCTATAATTCTTCGCATCCCAGTCACCGCATGTTGTGTAGCGTCCTTTTTCCAACTGCTGTGTATGAACTTAAGATATCAGAGATACTATTATCTAGCATGAGAACAGGAGTTTATTTAAAATTTGCCTCCTTAGTAATTCAAGGAGAGAGGGGGAGAGGGTATCAGGGGCAGATTTAGGCCGTCTTCTGGGTCTTCTTGAAGACGGTCAGATTTTCAAGTTTACACTGACGGGTATCTAATTTTTGCTGTCGGAAGACGGTCAAAAAATGGAGGATGGATCAGCAAAGATAATTTGGAAGACTGACAGAAAATATCTCTGGATCCGCCCCTGGGTATAAATGTGAAAAAGGTGGCATGTAACAGTTATAACATACCTTCCAATCAATCCTCAACCCCCTCCCCCATTACATCCAACAGCTCAATTAAGTTACTGCATGTAGGGGACATTTTCAGCAGGTATGTAGCTTTGGTTTGGAGCAATGAGAGTGTCTATGCAGTTTGACTTTTTTCTTCAAGTTGTCCCTAACACAGTGTGAAGAGCAGTGTCACTTTAAGATCATGGTAACATGACACCATAAAAGATGATTGGGTAAAATTACAAGTTCTTTGCATCTTTGACAATTATAAATAGAAAAAAAAGACCTTGCAGCAACATGGTGCCTAAGGACATTTGAAATCTTGGTAATTAAAATCTAAATACTTATCATCAGATTATAAGACAAAGAAAGGAAATTCTGAATATTATTTTGAAGTTCAGCATTGTATGAAACTTTGATCTGAATAAATAATGAGATAGTTCTTCACAGCTGTTAGCAACTTGCTCCACAGTTTTATCATTTCATATTTGATTTACTTAGAGCACACAACACAGGTGACTTCTCTCCCTTCTTTGTACTCAGGACAGGGGAGAGCATAACCACAATCAACTTCAACTGTATAGAAAAGAGCGCCGTTTTTATTGGCCTCGCCTCCTGCAACAACTTCTGGAGCTTCATCAAGACAGATGAATTCACTCTTTTGGTAGGAATAATGATTAGAAACCAAGTAGCCATGATATTCCCGTGTCCACCCGGCAGGACATGTCTTCCAGGCTGGAATCATAACATGACTACTACGGCCTTGGGTGTAACAAACAGCACATGGAGCATCATGGTCCTTAAAGTTCTCACCTCCTGCATTGGTCTTTAGGAATGGGTCATTGCTGTATTGTCCCATTTCGTATTCAGCCCCATAGATATAAGTCCCACTTTGGAGACCATTTTGATAACTGCCCCACTGTGGTTGTTTAGGTAGGCACAGGTAGTTGCTTCCTGTTCCCTTGTGTGAATAATAGGAACCAGCTGCATAACCTGCAAATTATAGTCTAAAATTAATAACAAAATTGGAAATTTCCTGTATGATGAAGATTGCTTCCTTCAGACAATTAAAATATGAATATTGAATCAAAATGTTTTAATTACTAGGACTAAAAAGAAAAGTTTTGAACTTAAAACTTAAAGGGATAACAACTGTTTGTATGATTTCCATATTTCACAATAAATACACTGTTAACAACTCACAGAAATATAATAAATTCTATTTTACCACCAAAATGGCAGTTAATGCAATTATTCTGGAATTTGTGCTCGCCATCTCATTACGTGACCTCCATAGATGGCTACACTCTGTAATAATCTCTTAAGAGAATATTACAAAAAACCCAACTTTTTAGAAAAAGAACAGGGACTAACTTTGGATTCATTAACCAATGGTAAGGATGGGAAAATTGTCCTTTACCCCAGAAAAATCCATTTTTTTGGCCAAAATGAACAGATGTTATCCCTTTAATATTGCCATCATAATAACTCATCAAACTTTAAAGATCATATACCCCGTTCACACTCACATTATGACAATTTATCCAAATAGATAGCGAATCAGGTTATGATTAGATTAATTGCTGTAATGTGACTACATAAGGATTTCTGATGAAAGGTTTCTTAAAATTCTGCCAGCCAGCTGGATTCCTGATAGCAATTCAAATAACTGATCAGAACTAAAACCTGGTTTGGTCTTACTGTGCATGTGTGCAGAAAAGCGCAAGTATAATCTGTGGATACTACCCTAGGTTCTAGATTCCATTTCATGGGGGAGTCAGATTTTCATTTATATGTGCACATTTTTAATTTTCTCATTTTTTCATTAAAATTTTCACTGCAAACTACAAAAAATGTGCCAATGTATCAACCATTTTACATGCTACAAGATCACATTCATATAGTCAAAATAAAAATAAGATTTATGAAGTTTTGTGGAGGGGGAGTCAAATTTTCATGGGGGAGTCAGATTTTCATTATGTGCTCATTTTTAATTTTCTTATTTGTTCATTAAAATTCTCACTGCAAACTACAAAAATTTGCCAATGTATCAACCATTTTACATACTACAAGATCACAGTCATATACTAAATTAATTAGAGATTAATGAATGTTTTTTTGTAGGGGAGTCAAATTTTCATAGGGGAACCACATTTTCATTATGTGCACATTTTTAATTTTTCTTTTTTTTTATGAAAATTTTCACCTGCAAACTACAAAAAAGTGCCAATGTATCATCCATTATGCATACTACAAAATCATAGTCATTTACTCAAATAAAATGAGATTAATGAATGTTTTTTTGGGGGGGAGTCAAAATTTCATAGGGGGAGTCAGATTTTCATTATGAAAATCTGATTGGGGAGTCACATTTTAGGGGAGTCAGATTTTCATGGTACACCGGTATTGCCAGCTCGATCTTGATTTCATATATAACCCATAGTAGCAATACCAGAAAGCGACTCCACCAGAAGGTATATTTAGCAGGCTAGCTTTTACGTTGCTCTGACGCTCAGGGTATAGTGGATACTTATTTCCTTAGCAATTTCACTAAAAGTATTTGGGAGTCACGGCTCACTACAACACATGAAATACATTACAAGTAATGTGATTTTGAAATGACAGTGTGTCACTGCCTCCCACTATAGCTGATAGATATTTATATATTGGCATATGAAACAACTAGACAATGGCATGTAAAAGATTCTAAAATGTGTCTATAGTTGCTTAAGTTTAGTCACAGCAATTTTTACGTGTAATACCTTCATATAGGAGTTGAGAAGAGGAACTGCAGGTGGTTCTCCCCCATCTTGTGTACACAGATCCACGGCCACCTGTTGTAAGTTTTGAATCTGAAAACACAAGCAAAGAGTCAGTGGAAGAGTCAGTCAGGTAGTCAAGATCCTTTGAAGGAATGAGAGAAACATCATTGTTAATACTCAAACAAAAAGGGATAAGAATGAATGATCTTTATTCCCTAATTTAAGGCCTCCTACCGAAAATACATGTGCAACTTCACCATAAATTTTCCACTAGTAGTAATATATTTATGTACACAGAATAAATATTAACATATACTGATAGTCAATGAAAACACATCAGAAAACTTTTTTACTGAGAATCGATTCCAACCATATAAATGAGTACAAATTTATGCACTTGTATGGTCATAAGAGAGTGGGCTGACCACTCGGATGTTTAAAATTTCGGCTTCATTGATTTTGTGATCAGCTATTACAAAATTATGTGTTTTTCCTGTCTCGTGATTGGTTTGAATTAATCAGGTTCAGTATATGGTGATTAATTAAGTCTATTTAAGGTAGTCACCAAATCCAGTATGAAACATGACAAAAAAGTTCAATGATGCCAATGATGTCTGACACTGGAAGAGCAACTGCGGGCCTTGGGGATGCTGGAGGCTGGGTGTAACCAAAGAGATTTGATCACATGACCTTGCATTTTAATGATCTTTTCTGACCTTTATTTCACCTTATGTGACTGAAAAATGGGTCATATTTCACACGAAAACTGTTATTTTCTTAAATGCCAAAGGAACTTTAAATATTATTTGATAAATAAATTATGCATTTTCATTGACTGTCAGTATATATATCCATAATAGCTAGTCCTCTATTTAAAGATTTTTACCTAGATCTTTTATAAGTTGCTTGATTCTGTCATCTGTCACGGCAGGACCGGGTGGACCAACAGGACCAGGGGGACCCTGGCAATGATGAAAGAATTAAATGGTATTTTAATACCTGTTAAAACAGAGACTAAACACATTTGATATCCATGAAGCAAGGCTTTTCCATAGGCCCAGGAGTAAGTCATATAATCCAGGCCCTTTTATTATGATCAGTCATATTTCAGATTCACTTGGGTCATCCTAAAAATATGGGGTAGATAATTGTACTTTTATGTAGCTATAAAGGCTGTTATATCCTCAACAAAAATGTGTTTTTAGGTTATTTTCTCACTGTTGAAAATGACTGGAGATGAAATAAAATCAAAATCAACAAATAAATCAAGCCCAAGCAAGCAGTAATGGATAATATCAATCAAAATTTGGTACATATTTAAATCTAGAAGGATGTTGAAAATAATGTCTAACCTGGGTTCCATTGTTTCCTCTTCGTCTCCATATAGCATCTCTTCCATCTCTCCCAGGTTTCCCATCTCTCCCATCTCTGCCTGGCAGCCCCCTGCATGTCAAAGGACAAGTTCCAGCTATAATAAAGATATTAGGAGGATTCACATTAATGAAGCATAATTTTCTGAATGATTAATTCATATTGAATAAGTTCATACCCAGAGATTTATTGTAAAAATCTATACAGACTTTGCCTATATAGAAACATTATGTAACCATAAGGATAGTAGGGTATTTGTTGAACGAGGTTTTGTACCATCTGATCAGCTAGATTAAGTGCATGTAAGTTCAAGGGTTACTATGGGTTACTCCCTACATCTCTTCTAAATTAGGCAATGTAAGGGCTAGAAATTTTTAAAAGTTCCTTCTACCAGCCATGTAATCCACTTTTCAAAATTTCTAGCCTTTATATATTAGGTCAGAGTTCAGTCTCAAATTTTTCACCATTGTGCATTGCAACATCATGTTTTTTTTTTTAATAACCTACATGTAACTCCTAAATCATGTGAAAAAAACACTTGCAGTGTTATGTTTGACAAGCTCTACAAAATGCAAAAAAAAACAAGACGCTTTAAATTTAAAGGTAATAGAAAGTTTCGGTTTCTTCATCTAATAGCTGCTTCTGTGGTATTGCACCAGTAGACCCCAAATTTATGCAGCAGATAAAAGGGGATTCCAAGTGTAACGTATAACCATTATAATATAAAGGCATAGGTCAGTGAATTTTTTTTTTTTTTTTTTTTTTTTTTGAAAAAAGTGGCATAAAAACAAATATTTTTTCACAGAAAAATCAATTTTTTACAAAATTTTGGCCCAATTGGCCATGGAATATAGGTCAAAGATCAAATCCAGGGTCATATTTGAAGTCTCCACATGACTTTTTATCATACTTCTATGGTAAGTCTTCCTGTATTTCCTTTGGTTTGGGAGATACTTGGCACTTAATTTTCAAAAATTTTGGCGAGGGTGCATTGGGATGAACATCGCACCTAATATGCAAGTGCACTGTTAGTTTTTAAAATAAAGGGGTTCATGGGGGGTTTATGCCAGCAACTTAATGAAATGAGAATTGAGAGATGATGCAATGCTGACTTCTTATTCAAGTTCAGTAGTAACAGTGGATGTATCTCAGCCAGTGATTGTCAAAGCCCATCTTAACCTAAGCTAATATCATCCACATATTGGGATATGACATGGTCTTGCAGTGCTTCTTTTTGTAATGCCTTTTATATTAATATTATTGTGTTTTATTAAAACTGACAATATTATCCACACAAATAATGAAGACATAAGTTTATTGTGGCACTGCAACTTTCATATTCATAAAAATTACACAATGGTTTGGTGAAGATTTAAATATAAAAAAGCAGTAATTTATTTCATGTAGTGTGTAAGCCTCCCATATTTAATATATAATATCATTAAAATGATGATAATAACACTTAATACACTTGCTAGGTACTGTAATACATATAGTCTAGATTTCAATAAATCAGTTTTTTTTTCATTTAAATGTTTAGAGTCTACTGTGACACATAATACAATTCAACTTTAGCAAATTGATTAAAAGAATACAGCATCTGAAATCTATCAAATCCTTAAGGAAGAAGTGAATGGTTGATAACTTACCCTTATCATTCTGTAGAGTGTTGACATTGTCATCATTTATTGGTGACACCATAGTTGAATCCTTTTCTTCTTCAGGATTTGTATTGGGAGTTAGACGGAGACTGCGAAGAATGTCCTGAAAGTAATTTCAAACTTAAGATGTACTTTGCCTAAGAAAAGATAAAAATAATATTTCATTATTTTAAATTATTTACCTACTTATTTATTCTTATAATTTTACTATATAGAATCAACAAAATATTCAGAAGACTTAACAATCTAAAAAGTTGTCTTAATATGGATAATGGATGGTTATAAATCTTACAAAAATATTTGTGTATAAAATGTGTATAAAATTTAAATTTAAAAAATACAAAATCGGTTATAGTTATGTATATGAAATTGAAGAATTTATTTAAAGGCTTACGTTTTAAAAAAAAAGATGTTTTAAGTTCTTTTTGAAGTTTACAACCATTGGTATTCAGTGCAATACATTGTTTTTGATTGTAATTTTTCCTTATTGTTAACATATAACAATGGTTGTCTGGTCCATAAATTTTAAATCATTTCTGGCATGTTGTGGAAGATGAGGTTTGGCAATTAGTCATAAACGTGTTAAAATATATCCCTTCTTGGCTACCTCTTCCCCACCACCAAAGAGGATAGAAACATATCCTATGCTAGGATATGATGATTTTGTACTACTTCTAATTTTAAAGATTTGAAGAAAAAAACAGTAGTTATAAATGACTGATATTTATATTTCATTTGTATTAACTCCAGGTGCTTTTGTTTGAGGGGTTATATGATTTTTTAGGGTAAATTAATTAATAAGCCATGTCAAGCTAGAGGGGGCTCTTTGTTGGCGATTTTCCTATGTAACAGACAGAAAATGAAAAGCTGTCTCTCCTTTTTTAGTATACTAGTATATACTCTATAGCTAAAGTATACTGCTTGATATGAAAAGAGCCTATAATAATGAATGATGTTACCTGAAGGTGTTGAATTCGTGCTTCTAGTTTTCTGTTCCAGGCCCTCACGCTTTTTATTTCTTTGTCTTGTCTCTGTTGCTTTTTTTCCAAGTTTGTCACTCGTTCAATCAGTTTGGCCAAATCATCGCCTCCCACACTTTTTGTGGTGACCTGTGTCCATATCACAGCTAGTGTAAGGATGACCAAAATGGTTCCCATGGGGCGCAGCATTTTTACACCAAAAGAAGTTAATTTTCTGGAGTCCTTTTGCCCCTTTCGTAGAACTTAAAATGATTGTTAGAATGTGGAAAATGAGTCTCTTTAAATACTGTGATGGTATTAGTTTAACTTTTTCGTGAAGCTCTGAAATTAGATATCATTAATAATTTCCCACTGTGTTATCTTTGGGTGGCTTGATCATATTTTGCATCTCCTTAAATTACACTGGGTACATGCATCAGGCTCACATTGTACTTCAGTTAACATTAGCTGGGTTGTTTTTTCCTTGAAATTGACATGATTTAGCAATTGTTCGGTGTGTGTGATTTGAATACAGGGATGTGCATTTGTATGTACAGACACTATGTGTCTGTACATAAAGCAATCACCAGCATCTGTTGTTGTTGCCATCATAATCCACTCTCAGAGATAAGGTGATAAGTAGAAAACCATTTGACCTTTTGTATTCAAACTTACAAAACTGATGAATATTCATTAAATATAGGTCCAGTTTGGAAATCAGTGTCATTAACAATTTTTCCCAATGTTTTTTTTTTTTTTTTTTTTTTTTTTGAAATGAGGTATTTTTTCATAAAATGATCATATTTCACATCTTGGCATTTTGAAGGGGTGACTTCGAACTTTTATGGGCCCAAAAAATTTTGCTAGACACATTTTTTGAATGCCCATGATACTTATATTTTATTTATTAAAACTTGATGGCCATTATGCTGTTAAACATTGTGTAATATTGCATCAAAGTTGAAGAAAACCCTATTTTGAGAACTGATGTCCTAATGACCATTAAAGGAAAACCATATTCCTATGATTCTCAAACTTATAGAAAAGATTCGAAGGACTTAAAGACAGCTTGAGTTGGAAAACCAGCCTGATTGTATTTTTTCTGGAAGTTTCTGCTTTTTTTGCAAAATTTTTATTTTTCACATATTGGCTTTTTCAATGCTGGACTTAAAACTCCCACAGGTAAGAAGCGGTGTGGTATTACGTGAACGTCCTCATTATGAATAGATATTTTTTAATGGTTATACTGTTAGTTTTTATGTAATATCATCAAAAACTATTTTGTGCACTGCCACCACAAAGATATGAAAGGAAAACCATGTGACTTATTATTTTGTAACTTTCAAGAGCGTTTTTAGGATTGTCATACAGCTCAAATTAAAAAACTAGCTCGTTTGGATTATTATTATTATTANACAGCGACAAAGCGCTATTGTAAACAATGACCCGACGATGAGATCAATAGATGTATAAATGACTTATTGTACTATCAAATTGTACCCCTGCCCCTACTTGTATATTATTGCACACATAAGGCCACCCTATACCAGAGTTGCAGATTGATTTTTCATTACGCAGTCTCTTGCACTGAAGAAAAATACTCATATATAATTTGCGGTCCTAGTAGAGGGTCGGTCTTCTCTCAATTTTCTCAAATCAAAACATGACTAACAAACATGAAAATTGACAAGCTGTATTAGGATGTAAAGTGTTGAGAACCCTTTAACAAGGTATATGGTAATATGCACGTTTAGACAAATTTTAATTTTAATTTCATTTAAATTTGATTTTAATTTTAATTAAAATTGATATTACCGAAATTAGTAAATGTCGTTTGCGTCATGTATCAATATTTATGCGCATAATAGTACCTACGTTATAAACATTCAGCAAAGATCTTTGGAAGGCCGCTCTTTCGTCGTTTATATCAAATGAAAACTATCTGATACCCATCGTATCAATCATTATACCATGATAAGCGATTAGCATACTAATTTATGTCCCCAGTCATGATAACTTTAACAATTACAACAAACCTGCTTACTCTGCTTTTCGTTGCAAAAACAATTAGCCAAAACTGTTTTTATATTAAAAGATATCAATAATAATGACAATTTCAAAATTTCAAAAGTACCTTTGGGGTACGAACTCCCGTCGGGCAGGTTACAACGTTTGCAACGACGTTAACCGTTATTCCACCAATTCTATTATACTTTCACCGATATCGAGATATCTGTATTGCCGGGCATGCCGAAGCTTTGCGGAAATTGCCGAAGGCTAGGAAATTCTTCAAAATATATTTTTATTACTTTTAATCAAATCCAGACTATCTCTCACTGCCCTGAGGTATGGCTAAAACCTTTCAGTTGTCATCAGACTTTGTAATTTGGGAGAAAAAAGTAAAACAGGAACTTCTGGTGATGAATAATATATTATAGTGCTGCAAGGTCTTGTTTTCTATCCCTGATGTACGAGTAGCTTTTTCTACAGTTTCTATAATTCTCTTAACGTATGAAAATATGCAGGTTTTCTGATACAATAAGACTTTGATAAAATCAAAACCAATAATACTTTTCAAGTCGCGAGTCGGGATAAATATCGGCAAGGTGGAGATATGTCCCGCCGGCGCTTCCGCAACAGCAAGACTGAAGGACACAAGTTACAAAGCAAAACATGTTTAGTCAAGTTAAAGACTTAATTACCGGCCTAACAGCGGCGATAGTGACTCCCGCTGTGAGCGACTTGCGCTGTCTATCGTAATCCCCCTATCATTAACACTGTCGGGGGCACACGCACGTTCGACGTGCGTGTGCTATTAAAGTGACCGGGGACTAAATAGCTACACGGTATATATATATATTGCTAACCATATATATATATATATATCCTCATTGTCACAGCTATAATGGAACATTACAGACATATATATATCTAGTATGTATGTATGTATGTATGTATGTATGTATATGTATGTATGTAATGTTCCATTATAGCTGTGACAATGGCTGGAGGGGTCAGTTTTGTGAACAGCCAATTGGCCAGCTGCCCAAGTGGCTCAAAGAGGACATGTTTGACCAGGACTGGGAGCAGGGCCAGTGGAGCAGGGTGTCAGGGGGGTTCATATCTACAAGCTGCAGGGTGAACACGGCAGGGAAAGTACTCCACTTTATAGGGGTGAGTTATGAATATGCCTGTGCTTTTGGGGAGAGGGGCAAACAGGGTATACTGATTGGGGCTCTCATAGGACATGTAAGTTATGTAAATTAAAATATTTTAATAGGGAATTTTGTTTTAAAATTTGCAACTTCAAGGACAGCTATGTAAGATGCACTTTTGTGACCGATAATTCCCATTTCTAACATTGATAGTTACTTACAAATCTAATCTCAAGTTCAAAACCTAGCAGAAATCCTACACATATTTTCTTATTATGCAGGTTGGCTTCAGTTTTGCAATTGAAATATGCAAATATTGTATAGTTTTTGTAGCTCATTTATAAGATTTTGACAAATAATGAATTTGTTTCAGGGCTGTACAAGACAGTTGACTTCCACTGACTTGGATCTTTCTGAAGCTGTCTACATCCAGTTCCATTTTGTGTTTGGTTGCTTAGCAACACCAGAGCACAGGGATGAAGGGGTTATAGTGGATTATTCTACAAATGGAGGCATCATTTGGACTACTATCACAGAGCTGTATTATGATCAGTATAAAAAACCAGAGTGGGTAGAACTAATATTATTTATTTATTTATTGATAATGTTTTACATGAAATAAGAACATTTGTTGAATCAGATGATTTACGTGCATTACCAGTTTGTTTTTTTTTTAATAATTGTGACATTGGTGAGTAACCTGGGAAAAAAAGGAATGTCTTTGCCATCCTTGGGCATTAGATCTGGAAGTCATCAAGTAATAGTTCATAATATAATGGCATTGTTAAATTGGATGCTTGAAAGCATGTATCACAATCTTAGTTCTGCAGGTTTCAGTCTGTTAGAAACTATAATCAGCACAAAAGTGCACACACACACACACACACACACACACACACACACACACACACCTGCATTCATATGCACATATGTGTGCACACACATGCATACACACACACACACTTACTTTTTACAAAGGAGAGTCATTCTTCAGTTCCCTGAAACACAGTATGAATCTCCATGGTATCATTTCAGATTTGTAAGCCTAATGCTCCCAGAAGGCGCCAGAAGACTTGGCACAAGAATCCGCTGGTGGCAGCCCAAACACAGTGGAGAGAACACTGCTGACTGGGCTGTAGACAATATTGTTATCGGGGGAACAGATCCTGCACCTGGCTCTCTGAAGGAAAATTTTAATTCTGGATTTACCCACAAACTTTGGCTTAATAATGACAATATGGAGATGGGTAATTTTTGTGGAGAGTTATCACAAAGTGCCATTTCCTCTCCAGTTGGCATGGAAACTGTTACCCTAACTACAGTCGATATGAATATCGAGAAAGGTCATATACTGCAGTTCAGCATCAGTGTTGGTTGCAATGCAACATGGGATACATATATTTTACCAGTGCTGCTGCAGTTTTCTGTTGATTTTGGTGTCACGTGGCACCCCCTGGTGGCAGAGTGTGCTCCCTCTGACCCACGATGCACCGATGTGGAGAACATGGAGAGCAGTTTCTACAATAATTTGGAATGGCGAAAAATGACCTTCTCATTGAAGGGAGAGGTGATATCTAGGTATATTGCATATGGGCCTGTCATTATACTTCATGAAGCTGTCAGTTTTAATTAAAATGGTGTCGGTCAATTTCATTTTGGTCTAAAACCTTGAATGGAATTCAGTTTTCTTATATGTAAAATACAACTTAGGTTTTAATTAACTAGCTTTCAATCTAATATTTTACTTAGTTTTTAGAAGAACAGACTTTACACCACAAATGAATCACTTAATTATTGTTTTATAAAAGTGACCAATAATTTGGTAGGTTTTGTCAACAAAAGAATGGCACCATAGATTATATTTTTTTTGCAACTTCACTCCAATGGTTTCCATTGTTTTGTTAAGAATTATGCTTGCCTTAAGATCTCATATCACTGGTTGATCATTTTTTCATTTCAGTTATGCATATTTAATATTTAATTCATTTTTTTTTAGTTTTAAGTGCTATGAAAAACTTATTCCAGGTGTTATCGTTGGAACTTTTATTATTTCAACAGGTCAACAAGATTTCGGTGGTTACAGCATTTTTCCTCAGATGTGTCTCAAAGCCAAGTTTGGGCTGTTGATAATGTTTACATAGGACCCGCATGTCCTGGCAACTGTAGAGGGCGTGGTTGGTGTGACTATCCAAGATGTAACTGCTTCCAAGGCTATGGGGGGAAAGACTGCAGAGTAGTTTCTAAGAGGCCGGTGAGACTATATTATATCTGTTTAATTTAAACCAATTAAAATTATTTTTCAAGTTATACATTATTAATCATAATGTATCACTGATATGATATGTTATAAAGGGGGGAACCATCTCTTTAGGTATTATATCTGTTATATATATTGTACCATAAATACATGTCAACAGAAATACCGTAGCCATATTTTGTTATTTATCCTATCATTGATTCCATATGAATTCCATAAAAATTGAATATTCATTGTCTTTATTTTGCCAAAAGTTTTGAGAACAGGTTAAAAGGATAAACTGGTCATACCTGCTGGTTCAAGAATTTTCATTTTCTCCATGCTTTTCTAACTTAAGACATACCTAAAGGAAAGATTTAGTGGCAGCGATCTTGGTCTGGACTCCTGGAGCCTTGTTCAAGGGGGGACTATTGGTCAGGGCTGTCCTCCTGTACTGGACGGCCCAGCACTGGTGCTGAGAGGGAAAGGACAGAGACAGGTGGTCACTGTTGATTTGGACACTAGAAATGCACGGTCAGTCATAGCTTTTTTTTTTCTTTATTTTTGATAATTTTCCGTTTATTATCAGTTATTTTAACCCTATATTTCCCCAAATATAACATCTAACCTCTTAACAGGTTAATTCTTCAATCTTTTTGTTGTCTCTGTAGTTTTAGAGCTTAGAACTCATTATTATCCAATTATAATTGAATTATTTGGTTATTCATGGAGTTTGATGTTCACTTTTTGTGGTTTGTTTTATTATAATTGATTCAGTAACTCATTGATTGTTTATTGTTTTATGTGTGCACTCTATTTTGTAGGTGTTTTGTCATTCATTCTTTCTCTTTTTTCATAGTCATGTACATGGAGGTGTTGGTATTTGAATATAATTGAATTGGATTTTTATTCAGTTTATCATATTTTTTTTCAGTTTCATCCAGTTTCTGCTGCAGATAGGTGGTGAGGGACAAGAGGACGGATGTGGTCGCCCACAATCCAGAACAGACAGCGTAATCTTACAATATTCTTCCAATGGGGGTGAATATGGTTCTCACTCTTCAGTCTTACTAAATAGTTATCACCTTTATTGTTGATTTTTTTTTCTACATTTCTATATAATTTATCAAACTTTTATTTATGGTATATTTTTCATGTCATCGTTTTTCACATTTTAAAACATTAATCTAATTATTATATTTATTTTCAGGAACAACTTGGCACACCCTTCAAGTTTTGGACCACAGTAGTTTCACATCCATGCAAAGAGTCTATATACCTCTCCCTGGGAGAGCTGCCACAGCAGCTACCCAAATAAGGTGGTGGCAACCAATCTCTATGCCAACCAAGCCAGCAGCTGTATGGTCATTGGACAACATATTAATAGGGGGCTTTGCTATCAATCCAAGTGAATTGTGGGATGAGTTTGGCAATTCTACAGACTTGAGCTGGGAGTTTTCCCTTAATGGCGAAGTTCAAGATAAATTTTGCGGGAAATCTGACTTGGCTATGACCTGGAGTGAGGGTGTTGGAGAGCGACATATTACTACTGGCCAGTTGATCGTTCAGGAGAACTATATGCTACAGTTTCAGGTACAGCTGTGCTTGTGAAAACAGTAATAATTCTCTGCCAGCATTGGCCTATATTTCTCAAAACGCGAATCACTTATTTATCGTTTTTTTTTTTTTTTTTTTTTTTTTTGTTCTCTGAGAGGGAGGAAAAGCTTTAACTTAGAGGTTGACTCTGAGGCCCGTATTCTTTATTTGCAGTTACAATAGCAGTAAGGTGAGGGACAAGAGTTATATTCTAAATATTAACCAGTTATCAGATAAGACTGTTGTAGTTAAGAATTTTTCTCTCCGTTAGGGCTGTTTTTTTTTCAATAATTTTGTTTAGAGCAATGATGGTTACCTAGCAGGCAATTTTTTAGAAAAGCAGAAACAATCAAAAATCATTAATCTTATGGTGTATATCCCTGTTGATGTTTTCTTGTGTTGTTATTAAAATGTTACAGAAAATAGCTGTGATGTCTGATTTAAGAATTCAGTTTTGTCTCTTTTATAAGGTTTTGTTTTTGAGTTTTATTGCTGTTCAGGATTAGCAAAATCAAATATATTTGTCTTAAGTGAAATATATTAAATTTTTTCCAATGACTCTTGCATATAGATCGCAGTTGGTTGTGATCAGCTTCGCCACAGCTGCAATAATCATCAGTCAATCAGATTAGAATATAACAAAGATCCACGCTCCAATAATTGGAACCTAGTCCAGCCTGTGTGCCTGCCAGGACACATCTCTAGTTCTGAATGTAGCCCTTACTCCTACTCCACTGGAAGTATTTACACAGCAAATGAATTTTTAACATGGAAACGAGTGACTTTGGACTTGCCCAAGAAAGTGTTCTCAAGGTAAAAATCATGTATTAGTATGTGGCATGTAATGAATTTTGTTAAGTGTAGTTCATTATTTTTTTAAACAATTATGGGCTTGTTTTTTTAACCATATTTTCCCTTTTTTCAGTTGATCTTGTTCAATTGATTTTTCTTTTACATTTACTTTTACAATTCACTTTTACAGAATACAAAGACAATTAAAGATTATAATTATTATTATTTTGTGTGCATTATATTAAATTCCACAAATTGTTCTGGTTAAGGTTTTTAGGTTTTTAGAAATTGTCAAACAAAAATGTACAGTGCTTTTCTCATAACAATTTGAAGTTCACTTGCATTTTTTTTTTTATAGAAAATTTTTAGTTTCCCCATTTCCCCATTTTACTTTTATTTATTATTATTATTATAATTTTTTTTTTTTTTTTTTAGTATGCAAGAATGTTTAATAAGATGATCATATTTTTTTTAGCTCAACTCGTTTTCGTTGGGTCCAAACCAATACTAACACTTCAGCGGTTGCCTGGGCTTTAGATGATGTATACATTGGGGAGAAATGTCCAGAAATGTGTGGAGGACGTGGATTCTGTTTCAACAAAACTTGTCAGTGTGATGATGGGAATTTTGGTAGGTGTTCACTCAGGGGGCACCCTGTATTGGGATAGGGAACTGTTTTTCAACATGTCTTTCCAGATTTATTTTTCTGAAATAATAATGTTCAGTACAAAATTCCACTCCCTTAGCAAAATGAAACATTTGCAGGAATATGATATTGCAGCAATATTCCTGCCAACTTAGTTTGTGGCAACATGTCTGCAGAAGTTACCAAGAAAAATTTTATTGCTGCTAATTTGCAGCATATTTGCAAGGAGGAATTGCAGTTTGCGGCAAATTTGCTGCATATTTACAGCAGGCCTGATATTTTGCTAAGGGAGCTGAGCATACATTTGATACTGGCCAGTGTGGGAAAATCTTCATTGACTGCTCTCAAATATCTATACTGTAGATGTCTTTTTTAAAGTACAGCATTCTTAAAATGTGGATGAAAATTACATTATTTTTTATTTAATATTTTAAAGTTTCATACTGGTAAAAATATAAGATTAAGAGCACTAGCCCATTATTGATAGTGTCACATGCAATTTCAGGCCGTGTCTGCCAGCCAAGCAGAAGCCTTCTCTTAAGTCACATGTCAGATAATTTCGATGAGAGCATTAAACGTGGGTACTGGCCACAAGTGGATGGAGGGGGTGTGGGATATGGGTGTGGCCCTCTCCATCCCCTGGGGCATGGCAGTAACTTGTATTTCAATGGATGTGGGCTGAGGCAAGCTATCACTGCAGAGATGGACACGACTAAGGCTAGGTAAACCATTGACCTACAATTAGAGAGCATGTGTTCATCCACCCAATTGCTGAAATGCAAAATTTTCACAGCAGATTCCACATGACTTTCCCCTTCTCACCCAAATAATTGTTTGTCTTGAAGTTTGCCTTCTTTGTCTTATGGATTTTATTTTATTTTTTTTTTTTGCTATAAGTAATTTTAAAAGTAGTGCTTGATCATTCCCTTTTTGAATTTTTGCATAACTGTAACAAATTTACTGGTCCCAAAGTGTCAGTTATCAGTCTGCTGTTTTTCCTTTTTTCATTTAGTGAAAGATAAAATAGCATTCAGCATAATTTACATTTGAATTAACAAAGTCAGAATTTAAAACCAAAGTATTTATCTGTTGAATTGTAATGGCCCTTTCTTCCTATCCCTTTACTTTTTTCTTACACCCCTTTTTATTCATGTAAATATTTAAAAATTATTATTCATAATTATCTGTTGATTTACAAATTAAATAATTGATTTTGTAAATTTATTTTCTGTTGTAGCAAGATCATGTTTGTTCTACAAATTGGAAGTCAAAAACAGACAGATACATGTAACATAAAAGTGAATAAGGGCAACATTGGAGAAAAGTCTGTAATACTTCAATATTCAAAGAACAAGGTATAGTGAACATGGGCAAGACAGGGAGAAGTCAGAAAACAGAGAGAAACATGAGGCATTCTTTATGTAATAATGATATGAAGGAACCCTGACTAATGGGTTTGAATTGTTAAAAATTAAAATATTTGTTTAAGTAAATTTGTGCTTCCAATACATAATAAATGGAATAGGTAAAAACTTGTGCCATAGTTATTACAACAGTGTTGATATATGTACAAGTGTAAGTATTTCATCTTATTAATTTACAGTGACCCATTATAATGGGTCTAAGGTCTTGATAATGAAATAGAAAAGGTTGATAGTAATAGCACTGTTTAATTGTAGATTGCTGGCAGATTGTGTTTTTGATAAATATAATATGTTAATATGTTAAGTAATGTTAGCACATATTGTACACAGCAAAATAAGATTTCAAAAGGAGGATAAAACATGCCTGAAACACGTGTTAGGCGAAAATTGCGGCTTATCTTGCGTAACACTTCCGGTAAAATGCAATTCTTCCAGAAAGATGGACGTTTCGGCAGATGCCCCTAACAATCCGACGATATCAAAGGTTTCCATTGCTGTATTTTCATCAATTCGACCAAACTGACATTTCCATGAAATTAATTAATTAATCTTGGTTGAATTGTTTGGCATATTACCGTAATTATGATTTGCATTGTCTGTACAATCTGTTACTGGTAAGCTTGACACTTTTATAATAGGGATGAAAAAGTAAAATTATAATATTAAAATATATCGCCAACTATGATATTTAAGATCATTGTGACTACTGACAGATATAATACTGCCATGCGTAGCTACTAATCATTAACAGTTAATTTTAAAGTTGTCATAAAAGAAAGGAAGAAAAGAAAACCTAACTTATCTCGGTTTATATTAGCAAATACAGTTTAGATGAACATATCACTTGTTGCTTCTTATCATTAGGGGCTAAATTGGATGTTACTGGCTTCCCACGACCCACGGAACTATCTTTCTCCAAAGAGAGTGTCCTATGACATTCCTACAGATGCTAAAGTGTTAGGGGTGCAGTTCCGGTGGTGGCAGCCATTGCATGATGGGAAGGGACATGACCAGTGGGCCATCGACTCTGTGGAAATAATCATGTAAGACGTGATGGAAAATATTCTTGATGGTTTAAAATGAGGATAAACAGTAGTGCGAGAAATAATATGAGAACACAAAAAGTGTAAGAACTTGCAAGAAGTTGGGGTTTATGATATGCAGGTGAAGCATTATTTTTTCATCACAAAAAGTAATAAAAAAAGCCACATGGGCTATGTTGGATGCTCTCTATTGTTATAGAATTAAGTAAACACATTAGTGGATCCAGAATATCAAGAAGAGATTGGGGTGGCAACCAATACTAATTTTTTCCATTATAATTGTATAATATCATACAAGATGTTTTACGTTGGTGAAGGGATAAAAGGTGTATGTTTTACCTATCTTTTGATGTATTTCATGATTGCTAGTTCCCAAATTTCCCTTTTTATTTTAGGACTCGCCAAGATGAAATGTTAAGAGATGCTGCTTGGGTGCATTGGAATAGGTGGCAGCACAGGCAGCGGCATAGGTCCTTGTCACCTGGGTAATAACAGTCAGCATGCAAGGTAAAAATGTGCCCTTACACTTCAAAATTAGTGAAGCTTGCTGTGAATGCATCATGCCATAAAGCAGTAATGATCCCAATGAATGTGTGAATTGGACCCTAGCTACAGTTCCTCACTTGAAGGTCATTTCTCTCTTTAATAGAAAAAAACTTAATTTTGTGGATAATATTATTGGTATTGGTAATTATTGATTTTGTTTGTAATTTTACTTGTACATATTTTGTTTTAGGTTTTTGTATCTCCAGAGCAGAGGAGGATTTTGTTGTCCATAAATCTGAATGACTTTGTGAGGCTTCCTCGGACACCATCTTCAGAATTTAAGAACAGAAATTTGCTGCTTACACAGGAAGCATGGAGACAAATACCATCAACTTAAACCCTGCTGCAGGGGAAAATATGTGACTCCTTGGAAAAGAATATAATATTGAACACTTGACATATTTTTGTAATTTTTGTATTTTAATTGGTTTATCCCATTTTTGTAATAAGTTCACCATATTATATTATTGTATTAGATACCATTTACTTAATAATGCATAAGTGTTATTATAATATTGTATTCTGTATTCTATAATCTTGTATTCTTTTCCAAAATGATTTATTCTCTTTAATCATTTTGTATTTTAGTTATTTATTTAAATCATTAAGTTTTTTAAGGTTAGAAATCAATTTTCCACTCACAATAATTTATATATAAATGTTTTTAACTGTTAGCTATTTATTAATATTTATTAATATCAATAACTATTATCTATTAATATTATCTATTAACTATTTAACTATTATCTTTCTAGACATGTGTATATATAAATGTTTTTTTTAACTAATATCTTTCATCTGGACTATTTATTGACTGATCATAATAGAAAAGTAAATATATGAAAAATAGATAAAATTTTCTCTTTGTTTCCTGTGTCCTGTTTGACAAGCTGCTTTTTTATTTATGACAAAAAATGGAATACATTAACTCTGTAGCATGTTCATTGTTGTAAGCACTGGATAACCACTGAGATTAAGACAAAGGAAAACTACATTTCTGTCAGTAATGGTTGTGTTATTATAAGTTGATGTTGACTATGAAAAAGGATTTGGGTGAAGTAGTAAAGTGGGAGATTCTGATCTGATACTGCACTATTTTAATTAAGAACGGGCTTTAGTGCAGTTAAAATATAACAGTGGCTAAAACTGCACAAAGAAACCATCCCATAGATGTATCTAGGGATATCTGCAACAATATCAGGGTCGCTTGCAATTTGAAAATTTATGGTGGCATTTGGCATTTGGTCCAGTTTAGCGGCAATAGTAAGGCATAGATGCTCGCTTAATATGCATCTTTAAGTTCAGTCCGAGGCACGGATCAATGGCAATACAGACTAAGTAGTTTTTAGAATATAACTTTTACTGACACATCTAAAATAATCGTGTAATTTTACAATACTAATGTCACAAACTCTAGAATAATACAATTGTGTTTCTAATGTATAAGGTTTTCCTTGTTTGCACCCCTCCACCCCCTAAACCGTCCACCCCTTTCCCTTCTCTATCATGGCAATTCTCATTTCTGCACTATCTAAGCGGATAAGAGATGTAACTAAATATTTATGCAAAGATACATAGGGCCTATATAATAAACTGTGGGGAAGGGAGGGGTTTTATAACAATATATTATCTAGAGTCTAAAATCCATAAAAATGTGTTTTGCAGACTTAACAAATAAAATACAATACAAATAAAATACAAAGTTAAAGGGATTAATTTATATTAAAAAGTAGTGGTATTAAAAGTGAAGAGAAAATCTCCAGTTATAATAGTATTCTGTAAAGTATTAAATGGTCAACCATAAAACCTTTTAAAAAAGATTGATTTTTAGTGCTTTTTTAGAATCATCTGTTGAGCTAGAGATCTTCAGAAAGTCTCCTTTTCCTTTTCCTGTAGTCAGCCCTTCAATGATCAGTATGACATAAGGTGCAAATCACCTGCTTACATGTACCGCGTGTATTGTGGACCTTCAACAGTTGCCCCTCCGCCGAGCATTTTTTTTCTCACTATTCGGCCGTGCATCAAGCAGATATATCCCTTTCTTATAAATACCATCGTAAAGGTATGTGGTCTAATTGACTATTCAAGATTTACAGGTACAGAAGAGCAATCTGCAACTCAACAATAACCAAATGTGTTGTGACAAAACTATGTTACCAGGTCTCAGGGACTTTAAGTTCCACTTTGTGTCAGTGAAAATTTGCCTTCACGGAGGGTAAGTGGCACTTCTGTTGATTGGGCCATGATTTTACTGTCACTACTCCTGCCTGCGAGATGCTCGAGTTCCTTTGGTTTACAATACACATAAACAAACGGATTTAGCGTGAGACTCGCCGGCATGACAAGAAGTAAAAGAATTCCTTCATAATCTACAACAGACACAACACCACTTTCATATAACTTGGCAATCAAAATTGAAAACCAGTTCGCGAATAATGAAAAAATAATCCAGACAAAACCCTGTGTCCAACGAGTATAAGCATCCTGCTCGATGTCCCAATCTCTGATTTTAGACCACGATTTATACAAAACAACCAACAAAAATATGAGGAATGCCAAAGGGAGAAAGTTAAAAAATATCAGTAACCAGTCTAACGGAGCGGTCGTTTCATTCGTGTGATCAAATAAAGTACAGAAACTCGATCTATCGGAACCGTGTATCACTGACATTGCGCTTAGGACAGTGTAAAAAACAACTACCATGCCCGACGAAATCAGGTAGCTTTTCTTTGGAATTTTCACACCAGGAAAAATCAATAAACGAATATCTTCTGCCAATATTGCAACCATAAGGTACATAGTGGTTCCGATGGAAACGCTCAGAATGCACGCCGCTGATTTGCACAACCAATGGTGTGTCCAATTGTTAATGTGAAGGAAAAACTCTCCTCGAAACAATTGGTCCACCACAGCCAAAACGAGCATGTATATGCCGGAGAGGACCTGACAAAGCGCCACAAAAACAACCAAGACCAAACCCATATCATTCCTTTGAGACCCTCTGACGTGAACCCAACCAATAACTGCCAGGTTACCTAACAATGCAACCAAACATAAAACCCAAATGACCACTTTTAAGAAAACATCGGAGATCAAGTCCGAACACGTGACCAGACCGGCAGGCTGAGGCGTGCATTTCATCACCTGATTAGCTATACAACACAACCTCGCTAAACCACTTTTAAATAGGAGGTCCGCGTTTAAAATTGAAAAGGCACTGGCGTTTACGTTGGCAAGAGGGTTTCCTTCGAGGTTAAGTTCGTTTAAAAACGCAAAAGGAGCCAGAGTCCCGTCGTAAAGGGTATCCAAATTGTTATGGCTCAAATCCAAAGTTTTTAGATTTTTTAGACCTATAAAGGCATTTGCATCAATAAAATTAATCATCATGTTAGCCAGCGTCAAGTGTTGCAAAGACTGCAACCCAATAAATGCATAACCTAAAACTGTGGCAATTGGATTATTCGTTAAGACCAAATTTGTCAAAAAATGCATATCTTGAAACATGTGCCCTTCAACTGCTGTCAGATAATTGTGAGATAGATTTAAATCACGTAAGTTATGGAGCCCTCGAAATATGTTCTTTGGTAGTGTTTGTTGTCCGCAATTTGAAATGTCCAACTTGACCAAGTATATTAGCTGATCAAACGTTCTGTTTGACAATTCAAGGGGATTGCCAGAAAGAATCAGCCCCCTTAGGTTGAAAGAATACGTGGGTATGTATGTTAAGTCCTTATTAACACAATGCATCGATTCCCCTAAGCAGTTGCATTCTTGCGGGCAGGTCACGTGCCCGCAAAACTTCTCGTCGTCCCCACTTTTCTTACAGTGTTGCTGTCCGTCACAAAGTTCTGACACATGTACGCAAAACCCGTCTCCTTTACCGCGAAAAGCACCTGGACATGAATACGTATGTGTCGTGCAATTCTGCTCGTCTTCTGCACCAGGACAATTTTGGACGCCATCGCAAATACTGTGCAGATTTATGCAATATGAGTTGGGGCATTTAAAAAGATTTTGGCTAGAACAAGGAATGTCTTGACACCCTTTTAAATGGTCGCCACTTCTGCAGTACGCAACAGTGCCGTCTCCTAGAATGTCATGAATGCAAGCGTTCCAAGGGCAGAAATAGATATTACTGCCATCTTCACAGGGAACCATGTTAGTCTTGCACGAGAAAGCTATCTGCGTCGCATTCTCGTCTTCTCCAAAATTTCCAGGGCAATCATAGACACCATCTCGGATATATCGGTCAGCCAAGCAGTGCCCAGAAAAGCATACGAAACCGTTGCAGTCTTCTTGCAAAGAACCACAACCCTGTTCGTCTGTGCCATCGAGGCAGTCTTGCACTCTGTCACAGCGGTTTTGTAGAGGCACGCACTGGCCACGAAAACAACGGAACTGGTTCGGGTCACAGGGAGGGTGCCGACAGTATTTCTCATCTGATTCATCGGGGCAGTCCGGGTAGAAATCACAAAATTTGGAGACAGGGATACACTGTCCGTTGTCGCAAGGAAATCCATGGAATCCACATTCGCTGCCCAGTTTAGATAGTTCGCTGTTCTGTTTGACATGCAAGTCACGACAACCTGATTCGTCATCCCCGTTGATGCAATCTCTTACACCGTCACATTTGTGGTGTTTCAAAATACACGTGCCGTCGGAACACTCGTGGAAGAATTCGGATGCTTTACAATTTATGTCCAAACTCTTGGTCAGGTCTCTCTCACAGAGAGCAAATTTGATGCTGTCCAAGAAGATGTCTTCACCTGCAATGTTTGGCAGGGTGCAATTAATAATTTCCCACGTTCGTCGGCTCCTGAAATGCATAAAGAAACGGCGTGTTCGTATGATTTTGCATAGTAATCGTTGAAGCATATGCAGAAGCACATGATCAAACGTGCAAAGGGTTTGTGGCTGCATAAGTTGGTTTATACTGTAAAAAGTTACTCTTCAAGACATACGATACTTGTAACTAAGGGAAAAATGCCTGCAAATCCCACAATTTTACCTATTGTCACCATGGTATACATTATCCAGAATTGTACAAAAAAATTGCGATCTGTTTAAATCTAAATTCCTATTTCTACCGTTACGAATGAAATTTATTCCGAATTTAGTGCTTTAGATATACAGTCCACAAATAATATAACTTCTTTATTTAGTGTTAGCAGTCAATGCTAAAGGAGCACCATAGTCGGTACAAATACCCAACTTCCAATATATATAGCCCTTCAAAACCCTTTCCACGCCGTTTGCTCAGTCTGCGTCCCTGTGAGGGGAGACAGAGAGAGAGGATAGGAAAAAGATAGAGAAAAGAAGGAGAGAGGGGGTAAAAGGTGGGGCGAAAGGGAGATTTTCACCAAAACCGGGACCCTTTGGTGTGCAAATATTTAATCATTAGCTTAATTAGGTGGAAACAACCCCTTACCCCTACTAACCGCTTCTTGTACTTAAGAATTTTATGGTCGAAAAAATTAGGAAGAATGAAATCGGAAGAGTTAGGAATTCATACCTTTGGCCAAAGTCGGCGTAT